TTAAGCAGAGAAATTTTTTTTCTTCCTTAGAATCAATCAAGCTAGATGATTTGTTGTAAATACTGAGATCAAACTAACAATTTACAGGCTATCGTCAAACATGTTGCAAGACGTCATCTTCAGTGACATAAGCCTAAAAATCGTTAAAATCTTCCCTTTGTCTAAAACCATGATCCAACAAAGCACATACTCAATGCACCAGACCTCAGCAGACCTCCCGGCATCTTGATTGTAGTGACTATCACAGGATGGGAACTTCAGACGAACTACACTCTTCTCTTTCTCTATACGACTATACTTCCCAAATTTGACAAATTTTGGTATAACAGGAAATCTCTGCAAGTAAGCCACCGAGCATATAAGGTGTAAAAAAACGGCCTTCGCAAACTTGCGATTATCTCAAAATGATAAAAAACACATACTTCCTTTTGTCATATTCGGGTAGTATAGCACTGAGTTGAGAGAGTGAGTCTTCTACTTCACGACAGTGAGCAGTTGGCAGACCTCCAGCGGTAAAGAACGGACCCTGGGATGGAAGGAATTTAGTCAACATTCCAGTTATGCAGAGGAATTTTATCTAAGATTGAATCACGGTCGAAATTTACTATCACCCCACCAATCAGTATTTGGGCATCGATCCAATTTCAGTAGATACAAATTACAAAAGATCTAAACCCTAAATCCTAAATTTTAACCGCAGGGTACCTCTTACCAAATATGTTGATCCAAATTCCAATGATATATCTCCCTGCTGCACAGTCTCGCTCGTAATGTTTCTCAACGCTTACTGTGGCTTATATCACGAGAGTGGGTCGAAAGCGAGAGTGGGTCGAAATCGAAAGTGTCAAAGATCTGGCTTGCATAATAAATGAGCGATCCCTTAAATGGCTGAACAGCGCAAACACACCAGGGGAGAAACAGTTTGATCTTTACTTTTTTTAATAATTGTCCTAGTCCCTGTGAGGGAACGTGACAACAGTTGCTCCAAAAATCATTGTTAAGAACAAGTTGGATAAACATACATAACCTTATTATATAAGGATAAAATCTAATTTCGCTGTTGATGTCTCTTTGAGGCGAATCTTCGACAGCTGTTACACTGTCGCACGATAATATGTCAGAGTTTCCATGTTAATAAATTCAGCGCATCTCTAGGAGTAGTATAAAATGAACATGTCTATGTAAATTAAATAAACATTTAACATCTGTCACCGTCAGATTTTCTTCTGGAACATTAAGGCGAAAAGTTGGACAAATTCGTAAAAGCTCAAAGTTGTAAGCTTCAATCATTGATTGAAGACTGTTCCGTTTTCTTCCTTATTTATGAGATGAAGGTATTCAGCTGTCTGTTGATTGTTATCTTAGTTTACCCTGCTTTTCTGAGTGAAATAAAGATCTTAAGCAGCGGTAAAGAACGGACCCTGGGATATGGATGGAAGGAATTTAGTCAACATTCCAGTTATACAGAAGAATTTTATCTAAGATTGAATCACGGTAGAAATTTACTATCACCCCACTTATCAGTATTTGGGCATCGATCCAATTTCAGTAGATACAAATTACAAAAGATCTAAACCCTAAATCCTAAATTGTAACCGCAGGGTACCTCTTACCAAATATGTTGATCCAAATTCCAATGATATATCTCCCTGCTGCACAGTCTCGCTCGTAATGTTTCTCAATGCTTACTGTGGCTTAAATCACGAGAGTGCCCGAGAGTGGGTCGAAAGCGAGAGAGGGTCGAAAGCGAAAGTGACAAAGATCTGGTTTGCATAATAAATGAGCGATCCCTTATAGCTTTATAGCTGAACAGCGCAAACACACCAGGGGAGAAACAGTTTGATCTTTACTTTTTTTAAATAATTGTCCTAGTCCCTGTGAGGGAACGTGACAACAGTTGCTCCAAAAATCATTGTTAAGAACAAGTTGGATAAACATACATAACCTTATTATCACCTTAATAACACCAGAATGTGTGTGTGTGTGTGTGTGTCTGTCTGTCTGTCTGTCCGTGTGTAATTTCCGGTCGGTTATACAAAAAAAACGGTAAGAGTTACGGGACTGATTTTTTCGGTATAGTGTCGACAAAACTCTGATAAAGCCCATAGGAAATTTTTTTTTAAATCGGCCGATGGTAAGTGGTTTAATTGATGGTTTTGTACCACAAATGTTACATAAAATTGCGTGAGCAGAACGGCAAGAGTTACGGGGCTTGCTCTCTCTCTCATTACTGTGTAATATGTTATAGCTGCATTTAAGTAGCGTCATAATTGGATTAGCCCAGAAGATTCGCTGTAATGTTATACCTTAAGCTTATTAGGGGAGGGGGGACTGTTAGTGTTTGGGGTCTGTTTGGACTGCAGAGAGAGAGAGAGAGAGAGAGAGTTCATACGACAATGTTATGCGTGTTTTCAAATATAATATGCGGGTGTGGTGCGGAGTTAACAAGGGTTAATTTCTATAACGATTTAAATACAAATAGAAAGCGGTTCAAGACGGGAGTGATGAGGTGTAATACTCGGTGTTCAGACCTTATGATCATGGAGTGTGGTGCCTCATGGCTAATAATGACTTAATTATCCACAAGAAATAACTGATTATGAGATTATTGTTTAAGAAACTATTGGGTCACCTAATGCGGGTTCTGACTCAGCGGGTAATTACTCCTACCCTTTTTAACTGCGGCAGTGAAATCCCGGCCGTAGGCCGGGTTACACTAGTCAACCTTAATAAAACCAAGAAATCCGTGTGTGTGTGTGTGTGTGTGTGTGTGTGTATGTTTGAAATTTCCGAACGGTTATACAAAAAAGACGGTAAAAGTTACGGGACTGGTTTTTTCGGTATAGTGTCGACAAAACTCTGACGAAGCCCATAAGCAAATTGTTTAAAAAATCGGCCGGTGGTAAGTGGTTTAATTGATGATTTTGTTCCAGAAATGTGACATAAATGGATGGGAGAGAGAACGAGGAGGATAACATGTACCGTAATTAGTTTAGCCCCACGTAATATCAGAGCTCACTCTTGCGGCCGCTTTGTTTCAACTGTAGGGAGATTTCATACTTTCATAAGACAGCGTTATGCGTGTTTTCAAATATAATATGCGGGTGTGGTGCGGAGTTAACAAGGGTTAATTTCTATAACGATTTAAATAAAAATAGAAAGCGGTTCAAGACGGGAGTGATAAGGTGTAATACTCGGTGTTCAGACCTTATGATCATGGAGTGACTGTGGTGCCTCATGGCTAATAATGACTTAATTATCCACAAGAAATAACTGATTATGAGATTATTGTTTAAGAAACTATTGGGTCACCTAATGCGGGTTTTGACTCAGCGGGTAATTACTCCTACCCTTTTTAACTGCGGCAGTGAAATCCCGGCCGTAGGCCGGGTTACACTAGTATATATATAAGGATAAAATCTAATTTCGCTGTTGATGTCTCAGTAACTTTGAGGCGAATCTTTGACAGCTGTTACACTGTCGCACGATAATATGTCAGAGTTTCCACGTTAATAAATTCAGCACATCTCTACGAGTAGTATAAAATAAACATATAATCTATGTAAATTAAATAAACATTTAACATCTGTCACCGCCTGATTTTCTTCTGGAACATTAAGGCTAAAAGTTGGACAAATTCGTAAAAGCTCAAAGTTGTAAGCTTCAATCATTGATCGAAGACTGTTCCGTTTTCTTCCTTATTTATGAGATGAAGGTATTCAGCTGTCTGTTGACTGTTATCTTAGTTAACCCTGCTTTTGTAAGTGAACTAAAGATCTTAAGCACTCCCGACGGTTCAGTTAGACCCCAGGAATGTGCATTGACTTGTGCTGGTCTTTCAAGACACAGCCAAGTTGGTTACTGCAGATGGAGGAATCATCATGGAAGAGCTTACCAGTATTTCAACATCACGGAGTGTGGGTTTGTTTCCAAACCAGTTGTTACTGTCTCACTAAAAGGACCGGACTGTCCTTCCATTCGCATATCAGCTAGTGTAGCGACATATTTCAGTGTACTCACATTGGAGGATGTTACTTTCAGTCAGATGATCAGCTCGGCTTGTGACGTCTATTGGAGTGCCTTTGGGTACAATTGTTAGGAGGGATATTTTCATTTCATTTCAAAAATTTAACTTGATATTTTTTCCACTGTAAATTGTTTTTATTCTCTTGAATCTGTCCCTAATTTGAGTCTTCAGTATTTTAAAAACATATTTAGCCCAGGCACGTAGCCAGGATTTTTCTTTGGGGGGGCCCTCGGCGAGCGAAGCGAGTCGACGCATCCAACCCAGCTGAGGCAGGGGTCTGGGGGCGCAGGGGAGCCCCTGTGCGGGGGCTATAGGGTGTTTTAGACGACATTTGGCATTAAAGAAATTTGTAGGACAGCAATAAACTGGGACTGAAAAGAATCAAGTTCTCACGTAAATTTGGTAACTTCACAACAGCAATCTGCATTTTCCAATCAGAATTTACGACTTACTCAAGCCTCATCGTCTTAAGATTTTGACATTTCCTACGGTCTAGGCCCTGTGGTACTACTGCTCTTTAATTTTTCGCTGGAAATTAAGCACTAAGCAAATGCCAAAATGTCTTACCAGTCCCTACCGAACTCAGTACTTGCCACATTGAATGGAATAAGTACATGTATAGTGGGATTTGGGAATAATTTACGAAATGCTGAAGTCAATTGCCTGCCGTTTAAACAGTACAGACTACAGACTGCAGTCATAAACTGGGGTTCAATGTTTTCCGGGAGGGGCCGCGGCCCCCCCCCCCCCCCCTGGCCCCCCTCCCCCCCTGGCTACGTGCCTGATTTAGCCGCCTCATTACTATTTCAGACATAACGATAATACTTAAAAATATGATTTAAAGACTGTAATTCTTCGAAATAATTTAAAAATTAACGACCCTATTCGCTACAATCCCTTCTGTCATGAATGTTAATCATTGGATAATTTTCAATTCAATATTACATTAAAAGAATCCCTACCTAGAATAGAGATGTCAAGTGATATTCTACAAGAAATCCTGATCGAGTTTATAGAAGTATGGCTGCACAACGTTATCTACAGAGCTAATCTCTACCCCTCTCAAATATTCAGATCCCGCTACAAATACAACGTCTCAGTTAAACAGTCCACTTTCCCCCCTCTTAACAATTACATCAGAACTCTTGTTTTATCCCTTCAACCACAACTCCGCCAGCAAGCCATCCACAGTCTCACTGTTAACATCTCCCTAGAACTGAAGATCCAGGAATCGTTCGCTCTTACTGTTTCGTACCCTGATGAAATTGACTCCCAATCTGATAACGAGCCTCCAGAAAAAGTGCTATCTTCCTGCAAAGACTCCTTCAGAGGTCATATAGTTAGTGTTTTAAACAGTGACAGTAAGCAGGACAGTGAACTCTCTGAGAAGAGAACGTTTAGTGTAAGTGTTAAGACAAGTGAGTTGGCTGGATGCCAGATGAGTGGGTGGTGTGATGAGAGTGTGGCAGAACTCGATGTTGCCAGTTTGGTAGTGCAACCCTTACTGTTCACTGATGTTGGGCTTGTCAGAGTGCAGTCCACTCATCGGATATGATATTTAGTTTTGGTGGTATTTCCTCAAAGTGTGGAATTGCTACAATTCTAATGATCTCTGTTGATTTATGGAAACATAATTGAATTCTCATTGTCCATCGTGCATCTTATTGTTACATTACCTATGTTTGTATAGTGTATACTGTATACTGTATTTATCGTATACTAGGATTTTTCCGTAACGGAGAGATTTGGAACATTATTTGCAACAGAAGTGCAGCACACATGGCTAGCCACCGGAAGGTTGTGAGTTCCAGCTAGACCATAAAACACCTGGCAAAGTCACGGACTCTGTAAATTTTACGCTACCCAAACGGTCCACTAAGCCTAATGATCGGGTATAGTAATCGATTTTGAGGTTTGAATCGTTCTCGCTTTTAATATTGACTTCCAGTAATAGAATGTTCAGATTACCGGCAGCTTGGGCAAAATCGACAGTGAGGAGTTTTTCGAGCTTTGGAAAGGTTGATGAAAGAATAGTGTCACTTATTAGCGGGATCGTGGGACCTGGAAATATTACCACCTCGGAATCAGGTAACGTGTTTAACTTTCAATAAGGTTTTACGATCTCAATTATTTTAACTTGGGAGGTATCGTTATGAACTCTGAGTGTTTTTTCAGCTTTTTTACCCCTAACATTTGGGTTTCTCTCAAACCTCCATGCCTATAACCAGCCTCTCTCGCCTCTCACCACATACTTTACCGCAGCCAGGAATCTGCATGGAACAGACGAGTCATTCCACCCTACCCGTGCACCAGACGCTGTCGTGACCCCCCTCACTACACCTCACGTATCTGAGATCATGAAGATTTGTCACAGTCACAGAATACCTGTCATACCATTCGGCACCGGCACAGGTAAAGAGGAACTACAGGACACACTGATTAAACCAAGACACAGTCTGTAAAAAAAACACAAGAAAAATGTACTTACTTGTACTTGATTAGGTCTCCTCAATCATTCGAGTGGCCTGCACCAATGAACTCCCGTTTGTGACGTATCATCTCCCTCCAAAATTTGCGGTCACTAGCCATCTCGCTCGCTCCTTTTAGGTCTATGTCAGTGTTTCCTGTAAACGCAGGAAAAATGTGTGCGTCATTATTTGGAGCAGATATTTTCCGGAGAACCGAGAAAGTCACGTTCATTAGTCACGTTTCATAGTGTGATATGGCATGTCTATTGTGTGCGTCACTTTGCTACCATTTTGTCGTTCCAAATGAGTTATTTTACAAATCGACTGTTGAATAACCGGAAACAGCTCTGAGTATGATCCGATCTTCTTTTCGGTTGCCAGACAAATAGATCAAAGCCAAATAGGTTAAACACCGCTGAACTCAGGTTTTGAAGGAGGGGTTGGTGCAGTGTATGGAGGTCTGTGTATAGCAATGCACAAAATGACTGAAATAGTAGAGGTAAACCAGTCTGATTTTGACGCTACTGTGAGAGGTGGTGTTACTCGTCACCAGCTGAACGACTGGATAAGAGCTGACGGCCTTCATTTCCCTATTGATCCTGGTCAGTTGCAAAACAAATGTTATCGGATATTTTTCGGTTTCTTTTTACATCGATATCTTAGGGCCGGGAGTTTGGAAAGTTTTGTAAATATTATATTTTCTTTTATTTATTTTTATAAATATGAGTGTGGAAGGTCAACACAAAAGTTTGTATTCCAACATACAATGTATTCTAATATAAATAGAGTGCTGATCAATAAAGAATCTTTTAATGAAAGGATGACACACTCTTAAAAGCCCAATTATTTCTAGGAGCAGGAGCGTCAGTATGTGGAATGTGCTCGACGAGTGCAAGTGGAACAAACGCAGTTAGGTACGGTACCATGAGAGAGAATGTGCTGAATATGGAGGTGGTTCTTGCAGATGGTAGGGAGAATTAGGCACATTTCATGAAGTACTGCAGTATCAGTCTAGTTTTGCATTTATATACGTTCATAACAAGTACTAGACGAGATGAACTATACGAGATTTGGACTTTTGGAATTGATATATCAGCTGATGGAGAATATCAGGTGAATGGTGATTGGTGAGTGGTGACTGAATGAGTAATTCCTTTAACAGGCACTGTTGTGCACACGGCAGGTGAGGGGCGCAGACCGAAGAAGACAAGCTGCGGCTATAATCTGACTAATCTGTTCGTTGGTTCCGAGGGAACCTTAGGTAAATAAAGGTACAATCTGCAAATCATGTACATATTGATTAGATGTCCAGTTAATTTCAGTCATTATTCAAATCTTCCAATCAATACACATTATTCAGTGTTCAGCCTAAATTTTGTAGAACTTAAATTGTTATCTCGAAATTAAGTTTAACTAGCAATTATTATTATTATCAATAATAGTTATTTTTATTTGGCCTAATTATGCAACATCACCCCAATATGCCCTATTCTAAGCTTATTTTTAGCCAGATTTGATAAAAAATGGGTTATAAATCAAGAGGCTTGCATATGATGAACATATTGACACGGGTGCAGAGTTGAGTCTGTACGGAACCTAGTAGTTTCAGATCCTTGTTTAACTTGCCGTACAGCAAGGTCATCCACTACTTTAGCCCGGCGAGGCACATAACTCCCTCTACAACTCCATGACAAATGTTTCATATATACTAGCCGAGTTCACAGGTTATATCCTTGTGTTTGAGAAGAGCTCGTTAGAACTGCTTCCTTTCCCTTCAGTATCCCACACCGATTTAATTCCTTAAAGGGCATTCTAATAATAAGTGCTTTGAACTGATTTGAATGTCCGGCACAGCAGATTAGAGGTTATTTAAATTATTTAATATTTTTGATGTATTCCTGTGTAAATTTGAATTCTAAAATCAATTAAACTGTAAAAACTAAGGCCAAATTAAGACCACTAAAATTGAACAAAATTGTCCCTATCTCAGTTTATGATTTTCTTAAAACTGACCTCGCTACCACTACCACAGTCAAATCCCCCTAGTTAACACCCCTTATCTCAGGGGTGATAACACAAGCTACAGTCCGTCTACACGGTATTCCTGAAGCGACAGCTGCAGCCATTTCCTCTTTCGACACAGTGCAGAACGCAGTGGACACTGTGGTACAGATCCTGCAGTGTGGCCTGCCCATGGCTCGGATAGAATACCTTAATGTTGACATGATCAGAGCTTGTAATCAGTTTAGCAACCTCGACTTGAAGGAAGCTCCCACTCTGTTTTTAGAGTTTATTGGATCACCGGTGAGTGATTGCGAATCTTATTCTTACCCGGGCAGTTCTGGTATTACAAAAGATTGTACTTTGTACTATACTTTGTATTTCAGAATTGTAAACAGTTGACTGATCCATTAAGATTTCACAGTTCCAGCTAATGACCAATCCTGGCGCAGTCAGGAGTAGAAGAGCAGGCGATGTTAGCAGAGGAGTTGTGTGTAGGAAACGGAGGAGAGAACTTTAGCTGGGCCACAGAGCACTCCGAGCGGGAGCGGTTGTGGAAAGCACGGCACAACTGCTGGTACGCCATCAAGGCGACGTACCCCGGCAAGCACGCGTACAGTACCGACGTGGTGGTACCCGTGTCTCACTTACCTGAGACAGTACTTTATTGTCACAGTTTGGCCGAGGAAATGGAGGTTCCTTGCCCTATTGTTGGCCATGTTGGCGACGGCAACTTTCACTGCTTCCTTCTTAGTGATCAGGTTTGTACTATTCTCTTGATATGGTCGTCTGTACGTGGCCTGGTTTTTATCATAAACCTGATGATCATGATTCATATAACTTACGAGACATATTTAAATGGTACGAAAGTCTGTGGTTTTTCGGAGAAAAAAATAACCATATTTTTTGGACTATTTGGGTTTTATAAATTTACATAGAACATCAGGAAGGTGATATTTATACTGACATATTATTAATTATGTTATACATACGAGTAATAAACTAGTTAAAATAGTACAGGGTGGCCCAGAAGTAACTGCCCACACGCAACCCTTTAGTAACTCACGTAATTTGTCTTAGAATTACACCAAACGACCAAAATTACAGATAACATAGATATGGGGTCAAACTTAAATTTCCTGAAAGTTTTGTAAAATTTCATTGATTGAAGTACGAACTCAAAAATTTTAAGAAACATTTGATATGATAATTGAACAGAGGTGTAGGAATGATTTTCTTCATAGGGGGGCCAAATTCTAAATATTTGTTGGTGCTTCCACCACAGCCTAAATTTTTTGGCGCTTCGCGCCAAAGCATAAATTTCGAGGGTAAGGACAAAAGGAAATTGCAGCATGTGCGGTATCGCGATTTTTTCGTCAAATTGCGCATTTTCCTTTAAATCTGAGGACCAAATTTGCGTATTTTCCTTCAAATCTGTGGGCCAAATATCACGTTTTCTATAATTAGTACATGAATATATATATGAATAATGAATATCCGTCTGAAAAAATCGATCTGCTGACACACGAAGCTTTCAGAGGATTTTTGACGTTTTTGAGTTCCATTAGGTGCCCTTTATGGCTTATCAACTTTTCCAAACTTTTCCACGTGTCTTAAGGCCACTTTTTGCCACTTTACCACTTTTTACCACCTTTCTTGTTAGTCGAATATCTTTAGTTGTGAACATCGTAAAAGGTTGCAAATCAATCGAATGTGTTCATATTATCAGGAAGAAAAACTTTTGTTCCAACAATTTTTACGACAGATAATAAGTTAATTGGATAATTATCAATTAACCAATTAGCAAAATTCTAAAAATTTTTTATTGGCTAAAAATGATCGGAATAGCTTAAAACACGGAGAAAAGTAGTTTTTAGAAAAAAATTAAAAATTTTTCACCTACATTTTTTTTTCGAGACTTCGAAAAATTTCGAAAATTCAAAATATTTTTTTCCGCCAAAAGTGATAAAATTGCATGAAACGCGGAGAAAAATGATTTTCAAAAAAAACTTAGTCAATTTTTCGTTTCAAGAATACTTAAATCACCAATATTTGTAGTTGGAGTTCAGTGAATCTCGGCAGATTCTAGTAATAATCAGGAATTTCTAACTCTAAGTGGAAAGGTCTGAAACTGAAAAACGTTAAGTTTAACCATACGATCGCGATATAAGAGTTTCATAACTAATTACAATACAGCCTTATCGATTTTCACAGAAACTGCACCAATGGCACAGTCAAGATCGAAACGATAGCCTGCTGTACTGTCATTTTATTGATTTCAATGATGAATCAGTGGGGTTAAGATAATCACATTTGTAATAAATAAAACCTCTCTGTACCGTCAATTGTGCTAATCTAAACCGGCCTACCTGTATTACCAGACCTCTTCTTTTCCTCAACAATCAAACCGAGTTGTTCATATCGCATTTTGTGGGTGATGTAAACTAAGTAGTAATACATATCGAGCTATATTCAATCACAATACGACACAATGCAACACGTTTATATTATATTATGGCCCTTGATGAGGTATATGAAACGTTCTATACCGTACACTTCTCGTTTCTCCCGTGAGAGGCCCGATATGGAGAGGTTTTACAGTTTATCACGAAAACGTCTACTTGGTCTCATGGCTCTTTGACAGCTCAAAGAAGGCAAGAAAAGACCAGAAAGCTTAGAATGTCAACTCGCAAGAGCGGGCTACCGGACAACTGAACCCAATTTAGACATTTAGATTAAGCCTAACTCTAACCCTAACCCTAACCCTAACCAATTAAGCTGATTGGTTAGTGGGAACTAGGTTCAATTGGGTTCAGTTGTCAGTCTTCGATCTGTCCCACATAAATCCCGAGCTGATCATCATGGGCCCCGAATATCCTGCGGGAAGAACCTGTATTTTTACTTCACGACATCCGGATTTCAAATCAACATCCTCAATAACATTAACAATCCTTCCCGATCAGGATCTGTCTCTATTAGCAATTTCCAAAATATCCTGACTCTCGTGGAACATTTCACTGAATTAATTATTACCGGTTCTTTACTACCCCTTGCCCGACACTGTACTCGTATCTAAATCTTACCCTTTCCCGTATTTTACTCTTGTTGATTTTACTTTTAACCGACCCTGACATATGGGGGTGATTTGAGGTATCCCGCAAATGAAGCGGTATGCAGTACAATACAAAACAGTCACAGTAGATGTTGGAAGGTGTATTTACACTTGCTTCCTGGACCTGGCTGTTCCTCAGTTTCCCTGATCTGTTCTTGCCCTTCTTCGAACTGTAGCCATGAGACCAAGTAGACGTTTTTGTGATAAACTGTAAAACCTCTCTATACCGGGTTTCCCACGGTATAAAGCGTTTCATAAACCTCATTAAGAGCCATATAATATACACGTACTGTGTCGTATTGTGATTGAATATAGCTCGATATGTATTACTACTTAGTTTACATCACCCACCAAATGCGTTATGAACAACTCGGTTTGATTGTTGAGGAAAAGAAGAGGTCTGGTAATACAGGTAGGCCGGTTTAGATTAGCACAACTGACGGTACAGAGAGGTTTTATTTATTACAAATGTGATTATCTTAACCCCACTGATTCATCATTGAAATCAATAAAATTACAGTACAGCAGGCTATCGTTTCGATCTTGACTGTGCCATTGATGCAGTTTCTGTGAAAATCGATAAGGCTGTATTGTAATTAGTTATGAAACTCTTATATCGCGATCGTATGGTTAAACTTAACGATTTTCAGTTTCAGACCATTCCACTTAGAGTTAGTAATTCCTGATTATTACTAAAATCTGCCGAGATTTACTGAACTCCAACTACAAATATTGGTGATTTAAGTATTCTTGAAACTAAAAATTGACTAAATTTTTTTTGAAAATCATTTTTCTCCGCGTTTCATGCAATTTTATCACGAAAAGTCTCGAAAAAAAAATGTAAGTAAAAAATTTTCAAATTTTTTCTAAAAACTACTTTTCTCCGTGTTTTAAGCTATTCCGATCATTTTTAGCCAATAAAAATTTTTAGAATTTTGCTAATTGGTTAATTGATAATTATCCAATTAACTTATTATCTGTATCTGTCGTAAAAATTGTTGGAACAAAAGTTTTTCTTCCTGATAATATGAACACATTCGATTGATTTGCAACCTTTTACGATGTTCACAACTAAATATATTCGACAAACAAGAAAGGTGGTAAAAAGTGGTAAAGTGGCAAAAAGTGGCCTTAAGACACGTGGAAAAGTTTGGAAAAGTTGGTCAGCCATAAAGGGCACCTAATGGGACTCAAAAACGTCAAAAATTCTCTGAAAGCTTAGTGTGTCAGCAGATCGATTTTTTCAGACGGATTTCCCTGTATATGAAACCAATCAGTATCACATCCACAACCTTCCAAATGTAGGTATGGACTTCAAAACACCGAAAAATATATGTCCGGCTCAGAATGATCAGGGTAGCATGAAACATGAACAAAAGTGGGGAAAAAGCCAAAAGTAGTTTCCAAGAAAACTTTGAAAATTTGTGACTTAGAAAATTTTCGGTCCGAGTCATTCTCGATACGTAACTCTGAAAGCAGAGCTCCCGCTTCCGAGCTCGTATTGTGAAGGGGAGGCCTGCCTTCCGAGATCGCATTACAAAGGGGAACCCTCGAGTCCAAAATCGTATATCGAACTTCGAAAACCGAAATAAATATTTTTGGCTCATAATGATCAGGGTAGCATGAAACATGAACAAAAGTAATTTCCAGAAAAACTTTGAAAAATTTTGACTTAGAAAATTTTCGGTCTGAGTCATTCTTGATACGTACCTCTGAAAGCAGAGCTCCCGCTTTCGAGCTCGTATTGCGAAGAGGAGGCCTGCTTTCCGAGATCGCATTACAAGGGAAACCCTCGAGTCCAAAATCGTATATCGAAGGGTAGGTGCGGACTTCGAAAACCGAAAAAATTATTTTCGGCTCAGAATGATCAGGGTAGCATGAAACATGACAAAATTAGTTTCCAGAAAAACTTTGAAAAATTTTGTCTTAGAAAATTTTCGGTCCGAGTCATTCTCGATTAAATTGAATTAATTTTGTAAAATTTCAAGTTGGTTGTTTACAATTTAGCCTTGATTTTGTAAAATAAAGATAAAATAAAAAAATCCCCAAATGAATCGGGAAAAAACCCATATTTTCGAACTCCCAAATCATTTAAATCACCGGAATTATGTCGAACATAAATATGTCTTGCAAGGTAAACATTAAATCGAGATTGATTGTGCCTCCAGAATTACAACGGTTCCGTAGAACATCATATTTGAGATCAATCAGAGATCTAGCCATTCCAAATTCTATCAGCCCTTAATCTGTGTTGGAGAGCACGAATTATCCCATGAGTTTTCCAGAAAACCCAGACAGCTCCGTTTCTTTACTAAAAGGTTTAGTCGTCTGTCAACCTACAACTTCCTGGCCGAAAGGCCGAAGTGACCACGGAGATCTCATTAATTTCCATTTTGTCTATCTTAGATTTATTCAGAATTCATTACTTCAGAACAATGATGCCGAGATGGCTCGTATTAAGGACTTCAGCCGCAGACTGGCCCTTACAGCCCAGTCATATGGTGGCAGCTGTACGGGGGAACATGGGATCGGGCTTGGGAAAAGGGAATTATTAATCAAAGAGGTTGGAGCTGGAGCGTACGATACCATGAAAGTTGTTAAAAAGTCTCTGGATCCACTGCTGATCATGAATCCAGGGAAAGTCATTGATTTGGATCACCTTTTATAGACTGAAAAATGAGAGCCGCTTCTACAAAATGTGAGAATTTTATTGTAGGCTGTTTGACAATTGTTATGAAACAAATTAATTTTTAATGTTTTAGCTTAAATTTGAGATGTTTAATGTTTATACAATATTTATACAGTATTCCGATTACGTCAATTGAATTATTACTAAACTCTGTGCCCACATCTAGAAAGTTTTAAATTTCCTCGCAGTCCAATGTTTCCCCCTAAAAATTCCCTTATGACCTAAAACATATTTATAACGAAAAAAAAGGTCAGTGTGTCAAAGATTTCCTCTTTGGCACCAAATTTCCTAGAAAATCCAAAATTTTCTCGCAGATCATCTACCAATATGCTGTATTTCTTGATGTAGGACTCACTGTTACTGATTACTATCGTAATCTTATCCGATTTCGGTTTCCAAACTGGAAAGAGTTTCCTTGTCATTTTCGTCATTCCCAGAATTGCAAATGGCGAAATTGGTAGTGGTTCCCAGATACATTTTTTTATGTTAAAAATTATTCGAGACATTAACATTATGTTCAAAATGGTGCTTCTTTCTCACAACGTCTTGTTTTTCAATTTTGCACAGATTGAGTAGATATATTAATCAGATTAATGTAATTATGATTCTTGATGGTTTAATGATTTGGTTTGATGATCTGATTTTAAAATTTGCAGTTTATAGATATAATATATAAATTTAATATATAAACAAATAATATCTAGTCAGATATTACTGTAAAACCATTCATTTTTACGGGGAATTTTTTTCGTCCAATTTGTGCCGCAAAAAGAAATTTTGTTCATATTTTTGATTTTAGCATTTTGCTTCTATCCAAATAATAACAAATGCCCTAGTTCTGTGAAAGTGAGACATGGCCGACCATCAAAAGCCATATGCACCTTGTAGAGACGTTCTATCAGCGGTGTCTGAGGAGGATTCTACACATCAAGTTGTTCATGAAGACAAGCAATGAAACAGTTCTACAGCGTGAGGGTATGTTGAAACCTTCATCTCTTGCAACAGACTGTGGTAGTTTAGACAAGTGGCAAGTATGCCTCAAGAACAGCTGCCCAATAAATTGCTGCAGTGGAAACCAGCACATGGAAAAAGATCCAGAGGTAGACCTCGAAAGTTTTGGCTCGACTGTGTTAAAGAAGGCCCCAACATCAGAAACATCATCATTTCAGCAGGAGATGGGAAAAAGTGGCGGACATTAGCCAGACTGAGATATGAGACAACGTATACCAGAGGCCGGCCACTCGAATGATTGAGGAGACCGTTACAAGTACAAGTAAGTAAGTAGTTTTCAATATTTGATAAGCAAGATCGATTGATTAACCCAATTAACATGAAATATCAATAATAATATAAGGAAAACTACGTTACGTACTGCTAGATGGCCCATATCCTTACTCCAAACCTATCTATATCGTATATCGTATATCGTGCCTATCTATACCGAGTACCTTGATATGCCGTGCCTCTCTATTCCGGGTACATCGATATACCGGGCCTCTTCTTTTCTCCAAAACTTTTAGGTAAGGAGGGGCCGGGGGGGCCAATGGGTATATTTTTGTGAAACTTGATTTCGAGATAACAAACTAGGACCAGTGACCGAACTTTTGAAGGGTCCCGGACCCAAACCGCCAAACGGTGCTGGCGGGGCAGCCACGCCCATATTTGGTCCAAATTATGCCCAATTTAGCCAAATACCCTGAACATGCCCAAAACCCAGGTTTAAAGTGCTCTACTTGCAGCTAGTGGTCTCCTGAACTCGTATATGAAATTTCATTAAGATTGGACAAAAAATGACTGAGTAATGAGCCAAAAACTATATGCCCATATTTGGGGCATACGCACCAAATTTGGTAGATTTCGTCCCATAAATTGGTAAAATATCAAATTTTTGAATGAGACTTACTTTATATGAAAGGTAAGGCTAAACTACATATTCTTTGTGAGTTATAGCTTTATATCTGTTTAAATGTGGATACTAAGGCGAAAATACCTCAAAAAATGAACAAAATTGCCCTTATATTATCTTCATTCGCGATATTCGCGGAATTGATTTCATTAATTTTGTTCATTTTTTGGGGTATTTTCGCCTTAGTATCCACATTTAAACAGATATAAAGCTATAACTCACAAAGAATATGTAGTTTAGCCTTACCTTTCATATAAAATAAGTCTCATTCAAAAATTTGATATTTGACCAATTTATGGAACGAAATCTACCAGATTTGGTGCGTATGCCCCAAATATGGGCATATAGTTTTTGGCTCATTACTCAGTCATTTTTTGTCCAATCTTAATGAAATTTCATATACGAGTTCAGGAGACCACTAGCTGCAAGAAGAGAAACTTAAACCTGGGTTTTGGGCATTTTTGGGGTATTTGGCTAAATTGGGCCTAATTTGGACCTTGAATATGAGCGTGGCTGCCCCGCGAGCACCGTTTGGCGGTTAGGGTCCGGGACCCCTCAAAAGTTCGGTCACTGGTCCTAGTTTGTTGATCAACTGCTATCTCGAAATCAAGTTTCACAAAAATATACCCATTGGCCCCCTCCCCCGCCCCCCCCCCCCCCCCCCCCCCCTTCCTTAATTAGCTCGTTTTGTGCAAGAGATTTGATATACCTGCATATTAGGCCCTAATTAGGTAAATGTGACGCTCGAAAGGCTATCTGAGAGGCTACAGATACTCCGTATCTGAGATACTGGGGATTGGGATCATGAGAACCTCTCTAATATATTGGATTATTCTATACCGTGCACGTTCTGTCGTTCTGTTTCCCTCGAGAGGCCCGGTATATAGAAGTTTCACTGTATAATATATCAAACTGTTAAAGTGTTAACAAACACTAAATAGTAAATACCCATTTTACCACGCATCTGTCCAGGGCATGGGAAAAGTTAAAAGTATTAAACATCAAATCACATACATATTGCTCTATCCTTGATAGAAACGCCAACATCTCTGAAGGAAAACAAAATATCTAAACTAAGACTCCTAATTTTTCAAATCAGACTTCCTTGTTAAACAAGCTTATTTGATGTCTGCAGTTCCGGGAATTAGCCGGATGCCCATCAAATGAAAATGTTAAAGCTACTGTTTTCAGGTGGTAGTCGAAGGCCACCACCGGATGTAATTAGCGGGACTATAATATGCGCACTGTTACTCGTGATAATATTATAAAACTTGCTACCTTTAACAAGCGTTAGCAAGGTACAGATCATTCCTGAATTCAATTATGCTGAAACATTATTGCCAGTCTTAGAGGAATGATCTAGAAAATTCCAACAAGGAAATTCATGTCCTGTCAAGTGTCACGCCACTATTCCGTCACTACTCCATTCCGGCGAAAGGAAATGTTTCCTGCTCGAAAGTAGATTAAGGTCTCATTTCCAGCTGATTGTCCCGGAAACATCCCTCTCTTTCCAGCCAATTTGTCCATGATCACGTGGTTGATGAAGGCCACGTGCCATCTCTGAATACGTGTGCGTCACGCCGGGGTCACACTAATGAGTTTTAGCTTCCTATTGTTGCCTGGTGTTCCCAGGTAGAATATATCTTTCAGTATCCGTACGAATCGCTTTGCTTTCACTCCAAACTTTGAGCTCCAGCTATTTTACCAAGCAAGTTATCATGCCCCCCATTACAACTACTACTATTGACGAACCAAGTTCCAACAACTTTGAATCACTCATATTTGCTCTACGTTACATAGGTATGTGAAATTATAATTGATTTTTTGTGTAAGGCATGTCTCAAAATTACTTTTTAGGCACAATTCTCACGGGCTTATTTTATAAAGAACCATTTTAAATACCTCAATTCATTCCTATTACTAGTATTAGTATTAGTTCATATTATTCGTGTAGTATTGTGGTGCATATATATATGGTGGTGTAAAATTAAATCCCTTAGAATAGCAAGGCTGCCACTTCTGTAAAAACTACACTCTTAAAATGTGGTATAAAACAACCGGTGGCAATGTACAGTGTACATCAATCATTACAAACCATGAACCATCATGTGATTTCTCCACCAAGAAAATGCACATCGGTAATTGAACCATGGTTTATTTTGGAGTCGCTAGATGTGGTCGTTCAGTGTTCACATATTATTATGTAAGCTAAATTTTGACCATCTTAGACCCCCTATAAGCCTCTCCCCTTTCCTTAAGCCACTTTACACGTAACTATCGTGTAGAAATAACCGTAAGCTTTCCCGAACCCCTCCCCTAAGCTGGCTTGCTTGATGTGTGACCGATCCCTATTAAAACGAGATCTTGTTCATTATCTTACTCATTTACCAAAATGAGTCACATGCAGATTTGTCTCATAATATATGCTGACCTTCTTTTCCTCTAGCGAAGAACGTGGTCCGGAAATTGAAGCATCACGAACAGAAGTTGCTCAAGAAAGTGGATTCAGTTCAGTGGAATAGCGACAACAAAATCAGAGAAGCAAAGGTTAGTTAAAGCAGTAGATTTCTATACAGGGTGTAAACTGTAAATCACCCCATCCAAATTGTGGTTAATCCCAGATCCTCCGCAAATTAAGGGTTTTTAGTTTCACCAAAATTTGCAACCTTAGTTTCAGAATATTTCTACCTGATTTGAACTTCGTATGCAACTTGCTTCATAAATTTACAGCAACGATCTTCCTTGCGCTACTTTTAGCCCTTCGAGTAAAATCCCCCTTCAACCCCAAACCTGTAAATTTCCTAATTTTGGCAAAAAATAATTCACATCCGGTGATCTAAATAAAAAAGCTTGGATTTGCAGAAAACAGTGTTTCTTCTAGACACATAATTATTTTTTTCCCGTCCACATCTTTGTCCATGGGATGCTTTTTCGATTATGCGTCTAGAAGAAACACTATTTTCTGCAGAAGCAACCTTTTTTATTTAGATCATTATATAATCATCATTATTATAATCATCATTAGTCCATATAATTACATGAAAAACAAAATGAACCTATCTAGAAGTGGGTTATATCACCCTATTCCTAACTAGAAAAACAATCTGAACTTGGCTACAAGCGAGTTACATCATCGTATTTTAATCACATCACTCGCGAATGAGTTTCAAGATCCAGATTCCTGTACGATGATCTCTTGTATTGTCAGATCTTATCATTCTCACATTCCCAGGTGATGCGGAAATACCATCTCCAGAACCATGAAGACTACATGAAGTACAACAGGATGTGTGTGTACATTAAGAACGTTGCAGCTCAGCTCAAGGACCTGGACTCAAAGTCTGAGTGTCGGACTGAAAGCAGCGAGGCTCTACTGCAGAAACTTTACAATCTTGGTAATTTGGCTTTTAGTTTGAACATTTTAGGATTTAGCAGAATGCTTTCTGTAGTTAAAATATTAGTTTATTTACCAGCACAGAGCACAGGATTAGTCTTTAGAGTAGGACTGTTGTACTGTGTAGCCCCTATCAGGAATAGTGAACAGGGAGTTAGTTAGCTGATTATTGTACTGTTCCAAGTCAGTTGTGAGGTTCAAATGATAGGGCATTATCACTCACAATTTCCATTTGTTGGCGCCTTAATGACTGAATTCTGTCACTCCAAGTATGATATCTAGAGGCAGAAATGCTGGTAATTACTCAAAAATTCAATATCTAGCCGCGTCACGGCGTCATGAGATCTAGCTTTTATAACATTACTATTGCCAGGTTATGGCGTGATAAATGTAATTTCTCAAGTCTTGCTGTATAAATGAAGAAGAATTGTCTTTTTCTCAAAGAAGTCAAAGAAAAAGACATTTCATTTAATTTATACAGAAAGATCTCAGAAATCAACCTATGAACATGATAGTCGCGCCATGAACAGTCTTGGCACGCCGGAACACGGAACTGACAATAGGTGTGTCATGAAAACTAGATTTCATCACGCGACTAGATATTGAATTTTTGAGTGATTACCAGACGAAAGCGATTATAATCTAACCCCCTCTTCACTTCAGGTATCATATCCACCGCTCAGAGTCTATCTCTGTGTGAGAAAGTGAACGTTAGCAGCTTCTGCAGGAGACGCTTACCTGTCATTCTTGTCAGACTGCGCATGGCTCAGTCCGTAAGTAATTTCAATATTAATTTAATTATCTAAGTTTTAAAAATTTTGTAACCGATCGGTTTATATTAAAATTTGAATGTTAAAATAAAGTATCTTACATTAAATATGCTTTCCAAATTCCAATGTTCATGCTCGCACGAAGATTAAAAGATGAATCTTAATATATACTGGAATGTTGGGAATTCTATTACTGTTATTTTCTTGTATTTACCACTGATTTTAACCAGGTAAAAGACGCAGTGGCGTATGTAGAAGAAGGTAACATCAGAGTTGGACCTAACCTGGTAACGGACCCTTGTCACCTGGTAACGAGGAACATGGAGGACTTTATCACGTGGGCAGACGGCAGCAAGATAAAACGTCACGTGATCGAATACAGCGACGAACTGGATGACTTTGATTTGCTCAACTGCTAGATCCCGCCGCACTGTACGAGGAAACTGCTGCTCTTGTTAATTTTGCTCGCAGAGGGCTAATTGTTTACATTTTATTTATTTAAATTGTGATGGTATTTTGGGTTGCATCACGTATTCACGCGTGTTTAAGTGTAATACACTTTTTAAGGTAAGTTTTTTTACTTTTATAACGGAAATTTAGTAAATTACTACGGTTAATGAGTTAATGGTCGCTGTTTCAATTTCATTGAACGGCATTTTAAAGTGACTTTTAAAAGGTCACTAAAAATGACAATTTGCAAGTTTTTTGCAAGCGATATTTACTATAGAATTAATAACTTGTTCTAGCATCACATCAAAACGTTGTTTGTACCGGGTGTAACTATTTAAAAATTTTTTTATTTAAGATCTCGAGTCTGTTGGAAATAAAGTTCTAGCTTACCAACAGACTTTAGGGTGTGCGAAAACCTGGAAGCACATTTATTTGCCTATTATCATGTTGTGACTGATACTTAGTTTTTCACATGTAGGCGTATGATTTTGGCAAACTTAGTTTGTTGTTCATTTATTAATAGCTTTGATTTTATAACTTAATAACATACTTGTTTAATTTGACTATAGAAAATAGTAATAATGATTCAGGAGATTTTATCAAAGTAAATTCTATCAAATTCGCCAGCAGCCCGAATCCTGATCTGAAATTTTCATTGCAAACGAAATAGTTCTGATGTACCGTCACAATAGTGACTTTAAATATACATTAACTAAAATTGATAAAGACATAATTACAATTGCGCTGATGTCAGTCCCAACTGTTAACTTTCCCTTGTAAGATGGCTGCCGCAGACCCAGCTGTAGAGCCAGAAGACATCTCCGACGATGCCCCATCCTACTACTTTGATGTAGCATCCCTGCTTGATACTCTCATTTTCACCCCTTCCTACACGGACCTCATCCCCAACCTTCCCTCCCTACATCCCTACACTAACCTCACACCTCCTGCCAAAGTCCTTTACATCAGACTATACCTCCGCAAACGGACTTGGTTAAAGTCTGAAACCTTAAAGTACAAGGAAGTCCCTAATGTTCAGACTTCTCTTGGAGAGTTGACCGGGGCTGGTTTACTGCTCAGAATTGGTGATGATACGGATAACATGACGGTGTCTGATCTGCTTGAAACCTTCTCCGCTACAAAACTTAAAGAACTGTGCAAGAGCCTGAACCTTCAAACAAAGGGAACTCTTAACTCGATGAAGGAGTCTGTTTTAAAAATGTGTAAAACACAGAGGTCGCTATTTGGGGGTAGCACGTCTCAGCGAGTCAAGAAGAAATGTTGTGAGTTAATGGATGACATGGTAAAGGTTGCTGAAACCCCTGCCACGATACTTGACAAGGTCCTAATCGCCTCATTTCCTCAACATTTGCTATTCAGCGAGAAGGATGATGAAGTTGGCCTAACTGGTCAGAAAACTCTATCTACGATCATGCTTCCACAGTTCAAAGTCACGAGGAATTTTCCTTCCTATAAAGTATCTCACACAAAGCCCCTATTTTCAAGCAGCCATCAACTTGAGACGTTCTTAACAGCTTGCCAGCTAGAAGCACAGTGTAACGTGTACACAGATAAACACGATTGGAGTGCAATCGAAAAGATGTACACGGAAACCTTACCTCGATTTAAGGTGAAAGTAAATCTATGGAAAGGGACAACGGAATTACCGAAAGATTCTCACCTTATCCGGTTTAGTGAGGAATATGTTTTAGCGCGGATCATGCGGAAATGTTTAGCTGCGCTTCAGAGACTGAAGAAATACGAAGAAGCTGTCAAGCTGCTCCAACTTTTGCTTAGCTACACACCTATGAGTCACAAACGGGGAAGCTGGTGGGAAAACCAGGCGTTGATTCTCCATTTTCACCTGAAGAAAAAAGATGCTGCACTCAAAGTTGCGTCTAAAGGTCTTGCTGACCCTAATACAGGTCCTGAGAGCAGGATTGCTCTGGAGATAAGAATGCGTAAACTTGATAAGAATTACACTCCAAAGTTTACCTTCGAGCCCAAGGAAGTGACAATTGATATTGTGGCTTTCAAAGGTTCTGGCAGTGCGGCTAACTCTAAGAAGATCTGGTTGGGAGATGATAACGGAGAAACGGTATTGTGTGGTGTGGAGGATGTAACTCTCAATTACTACATCAACAACTTCAACTTCAAGGAGGGCTTTCATTGTGAGGGAGGAATTTTGAGCACCCTGTTTGCTATTTTCTGTTGGGACTTATTGTTCTGTGATGTTGAAAATGTGTTCTACAACGAATATCAGTATTGTCCTCTCGATTTGTGGTCTAAAGAATTTTACCAAAACCGCAAGGACCAAATTGTTGCTCATTTCGATTTTCTTCGAGAACTTTCTGAAGAGGGTATTTCTGATATTGTAGCACAGACCTGGGATCTTCATTATGGTACAGGATGTGACGGGTTAAATTGGGAGCTATTTGCTGATGTGAAGCAATGTCAGAGATGTGTCACATGCATAACGCCACCGAAACTTGTAAAACTTCTAGAAGAATACGTCCCTGATATTCGGGGGAAGAGAAGTGGGATCCCTGATCTATCTATGTGGAATCATGAGACTCGTGAGTTTGCTATGGTCGAAGTTAAGGGACCGGGAGATTCTCTGAGTAATAAGCAGAAAGTTTGGTTGAGTCGGTTAGATGAGTTTGGAATAAGGGCAGAGTTGTGCCTAGTAAAGGCTGCAAAACAACTGGGGTAGATTGTAGTCTTTCGACTTCCTTAATATTAACTAATTTGACCATAATTTGGATTTCATTTCGACTTTTAATATATGTAACATAAATTTATTTTTGGATTAATCTAATTAAAATTTACCTTCTATTCTAAAAGAAGTGATGAACCGTTGTTTATTTGTCCATAATATAATAGAGTCGATACAAGCAGAAATATGCTTTTATCGTGGCCTTAGGTCAGACTAAGCACAGTTGCAGTCACCAAACTTCTTTTACTTCGAACGTGGCACCTCTTGCGTAAATTTTTTTTTTTGGAAAAAAAATAATTATAACTCGTGCAAGTCCGAAATGGGCCGTGTGCTGCTTCTAGGAAGCACATATGACAGTGCATATCAGCACACTGTTGGCTTTCTTAGAGACCTGATCAGTACCAAGCGGTGGAAAACAAATAGAATAATATGTAATAATTGCGTTAATTCGTCATAAGCAGTAAGCTGGGAGCAAGATCTGACTGTTGAAAGGGTCTACCTAAGATTAAAACGGCACAAGCGAGACTTCTTTTTATCATTATACGGCGCTGCACGTGCGTCCTGAACGCGCGTATATTATATAATTGAATGTACGTACGTACGTTAATCCTTTATTCAGATGATGAATCGAATAAAAGTAGCTTTCGTCAGATTGATATTTGAAAGTTGGTCAAGCTATTAATTAGATTCTTCAGTAGGTTGTGCCTAGATGCTCCTTCATGAAGATAAAATTGCTAGGTAACCTCCTGATCCCTACTAATAGGACACATCGCACTTGCTCATTATAAATTTTGAAATATCCACATTCATACGTTTGTAAAAGACAAATTATTCAAAATCATTTAAAATGGTTTCGACGCTCTTCAACAAAAGATCTAGTTTATACGAGATCATAGAGGTTGAAAACATCAACATCAAACCCGATTTCTCGGTTCCCGCCCTATCTCCTGGATCAAGCTGTCGCAGGGGAAAAAGTGGTTCCTTCGTTCTCCCAGGATTTATTGAAGAGGAGACGGAGCTTCTTGATAGTACTGACTAATGATTGGGTCGATTCCTTCGCAATTAGTAAAGAGACTCAAGCTTTGCCTGCCTTCAATTTACTCCCCAAAGGAAGAAGGATCAGGAAGAGTCTACGAACAAAGATTAGGAACTCCTTCATATCAATAAAAAGTTGAGTTTCCGGAGAGCGGCGTACGTAGTCGATGGTCGGACTACCTCCAACCTTGCTTGGCGACAGTTGTTAAAGGCTTTTGTACTTGACACCATGGAACGGCTGAGGCCAACTGAGGCTTCCTGGGCAGACTTTGACGATCTGTTCAGCGGAACCAATCCACAGTTCATTCCATTCATGAACATGAACCCCATGACCAGAATATGAAGAGGTCTCCAGAGAAGAAAAACAAGGAACTGATGTACAAACTACAACCCTTGTTCATAAATTAATAAACCTCACAAAAAACACTGATCAACACTGACGACGAGAAAAGTAAATCTAAAAAACCCAAAAAGTCCAACAAAATATACATTCCACAAACACAAAAAAATGTTTTTATTTATTCTTACCACTTTCCGAGACCCGGACCCAAAATTTGAAGTTTTACTTGTACTAAAAACTAACTAGAGCTCTATACTAGGCGTTCTTTCCAAACGCGCCCATCACGTACTCACTACTGAAATATATCACTAAGCTATCCACGGAGGATAATTTATGAGCTAACTGGCAAGTTGTAGAAGATGTGATTAATCAGAACTTCAATCAAGACTAAAATATCGACCCTATTATTGAAGCCGGTGTTATTAGCAAGAGAATGTGATCAGTGTGCTTGAAATACAGTCTGTACAACATACTGACAGACACCTCTATCATGCTTTGATTTGAATCCTTGACTCATTAATAAGAAGTAGCAGTACGAAGGAGAAGGCAGTGTTTTCAAATTACTGGCACTTGAGATCTAGAAAACATCGTGATCACTCTAACATCATCCTGTATTGACGGATGATACGAGTTTGCGAAATATTATTTGAACCAGGCAAAGGGATGCATCAGTGGTGTGCTGGGCGATTACCCGGGAGGAAAGAGAGGAGACACAGCATAATAGAAAATGTAGCAACAAGAAAAACCATTCATTAATTAAGTCTATTAAAATGATATTAACATATTAGTACAAGATATTTACATGAACATATTTACATTGAATGATCTGACTGTGATAACAAAATACTCTGAAAAAAAAAATTATAAAGCAATTCGACCTCTGAATAAGTTATATCACTTAACTTTAACTATTCCGTTGAAAACCCCCAATTCAAATAGTCTGGCTCCTTGTGGGCACATTTCAGGGTACTTTCCTTCAGTTTATAATCCTACATTAATAATTTATATAAAATCAGATCGTTAAGTAACAAAAACTGTTAGAAATCAGGTTACTTATACTGATTGCTTTTGAAATTTAAGTGGAAAGTTCTTTTGTGTTTTGAGAGTTTTCAAGGAAACCTAGTTTGTTGGATCTCATCACTGAACGGTTATTTCTTCAGTCATCTGGAGCAACTCCATGTCCTCGTCGTCGCTAGAATTCTGCGCTAGAATGACCTGAAAAAATAAATAGACAATTGCATTTATCATACCATTAGCTTGTCTAGGTCAACACACCTCATGTCTACTATTATCTACTCTGTCTTTGCAAATATTTGGCGCAAACAAAAAAAATAAGGTGGAACATTTGGCTGGCAGATTCACATAACGTTCACAATGATGGTATTTACCTGTGTGTTGTTAGATATTAGCTTGTCCAGTTGTGTGGGTGTTAACTTCTTGTGTATTTCCTCAGGCGACCTGTAAATAAACAGTTTAAACTGTGAGAATCATTATACAATATATCATTACTCAGTAGCATATTTCTTGAATTAGAAGTTAAGCTATTCTCAGTACTCACTTCAAGAATTCATCAAGCAGCTCAGAACCAAGACACTCCTTTAACGTTTCGTGGACCTCAGTGAACATCCTGACCAGGTACGACAGGGTTCTGGCAGCGTGTTGCTGTGAGGGAGGATGTCGGACGTTACTCAGAACAACAATCAGGCTCTGTACTGCTCCATTCTCCACGGCTATTGTGGCGAGCAGGTTGGAGTTCTCTGTCATTAGTCCCAGTACTTTAGCTGCAGCAGCCTGGGGGTTACTGTGGATGAGATACAAATTACAACAAAGGGCCAACTTACTGTATACAATATTTGTGGGGTTTGGATCCCGCTAGCTCCATACTGGAATGTGACTGACCTGCTGAAGATGTTGAGGCAGGGGAGTATCGGATACAGGAGGTCTGATGACGTCATCAAGTAGGGGAGTGAGTAGAGCTATCAGCCCAACAATAACCACCTCACGTACTTCATCGTGCCCTACTAGCTCCTTCAGGAGTTCAGAGGCCTCGTATTGGACATCAGAGTAGAGACTTCTCAGAAGAGCTAGAACATTCTCAACAAGGGCCTGGGTTGGAGGTCCCACTAGCTTCTGTATGTGTCTCAGTCCTTGTGCTGCTACTCGCTGCGTACCTAATGCGGAATGTTTATTGTTAAAGCATTTGGTATGTCACATTTAATTAGACTATTCACATTTAATTTAGTTCAGGTATGTAAAAGTAGCCTCCAAATCAAGGCCTCCTTCGAATTTTACTCTAACTAACGATTAACGGATTAAATGTCTGTATAAAATTTATCCTCAAATCAAAATAGAGAAATCAAGAAATTTACGAATGTAGAGGGAATCTACATGAATTACCAGGATTGGTGCTGGGAAGCAGGTCCTTGAGAACTTGATAGACCTGTTTCTGGTATCTTGGGTTACCGTGAGCCAGAGAGTAGAGCAGAGATCTGCCGCACTCTTGTGTTTGTGAAGTGTACGATCTTGCCATGCACTCGGCTGCAGCCCGGACACCTGGACAGAGAAGGGGGTGTTTGAAACAACAGCAAGATCATAGCATTAGTTTAAAGTGGAACTCTAAGAAAGGTTGAATGATGTGTTAAATAGTAAGTATACAGACTTAGAATCTTACCATAACTTTCGCAGATGACTTCCTTGTATTTTCTGCCACAATTGGAGATCGTCTCTAGCAACTCCATAGCTGAACTCTTGTCCTCCTCCTTGGCCGTCTTCAATCCCAATATCTCTAACACAGTGAGTATGCCTCCCACCTCCAAAAACTCACTCAAATATCGCTGCCTATTGTGGGAATAACAATTAAAATGGGGCTGGGCCATGAAAGAAACAGGGCTACGTACACGTAGCAAGGGCATAACAACAAAAGATAAGCGCGCAACCACGCGCCAGGCAAAACTCTGAACTGACAACAGCAGAATCAGCTCTTTTCACATTTTATGTGCTGTGCGTTACAATTAATGAAATTTTGGCAAGTGACCGTTCGACTTTTATCTGATTCTCCGTAAAATCGTGAAAATGTGCTGAAGTGAGTTGTTCTCCAAACGAAAACTTTTAGTTTTGCTACTCAGACCACAATTTCAGTGCACTTCTAATGTCCTGGGCTCATATTACAGTGTACATAGTATAGCCTTCATAGCAGGATAACTTCAGTTTTCTATTTAGGATGGCTGCATTAACTTATAAAATTAACCATCGCCAAAAGTGGTGTTCAGCTGTCTTCCTGAATTCGTACGTCATATATCGTTATAATTATCATCAAAACACATTAAAATCATACAATTTTCAATGTTTCTGGGAGAGTTAATAGCGATATCATCCTATGAGATCTGTTGAATATATTTTGAGTTAACTTCGTAGTGTAAGTAAAAAAAAATTAGCTTACCCACAAGAGGCAGAGAGAAAGACTTTGATGGCGTCCAGTTGTATCTTAATGTTACCTCCAAGAAGATACCTGAAATGAAACAACTGTGAATCAGAGAAAACAGAGGTGGTGTTAGTGAGTCAGGGCCCTGGGGGTACTAGTACAGTCAAATCCGTCCTAATTTAAGCCTTTGTCGGACAAAATTCGCAACAAAGCGATTTTAACGGGATATGGTCGGGACAAGTCCCAGGAATCATTCCAGAGAGTTCCCAAAATCCTCGACTTCAGGAAAATCCACAATTACCACTTTTTTACCACCTTTTTACCACTTTGGTTTTCTGTAAATAAGTCACGTTCTGAATATCCTAGAAGACTCTAGTTTAAAGCATTGTGTTTAGAAAACAAAGAAGAACAACTTTTTCTTTAACAACTTTTTCAAAAATAAATTATTTAATTAATTAATTAAATAATTAATAAATTTTCAAATATTTCAAAAATATATTTTCACCAAAAATGTTTACAATTACATTCCACGTATAATGAACTAATTTTTATAAAAATTTTCACTTTCAATATTTTGGACTTGTAAAATTTTCGAAATTTGTAAAGAAAAACCACTATTTACAACTTTTTACCACATCGAATCTCCGCTAATAAAACGACTTCTGAATTTCGTAGAAGGTTCTAGATTGAACCAATATGTTCAAAATATAAAAGAGAACAACTTTTTATCTGACAACATTTGGATTAGATAATTAATTGATATTTTAAATAAATAATAATTAAATTTTTATAAATTTCAAAATATAATTTTTATCAAAAATATTTGCCGTGACGTAAAACGTAAAATGAATTTACTTGAATAACAGAACATACACCGTCACATAGATTAGATAACAGATTAAAAATCCAGATAAATGGAATAAACGGTAAAATATCCAAATTTGTACGATACCATTATAGCTTATAACTATTTACACATCATATCTCTCGACTTAGTGTTGTGCTTAACTAGATTGTTAAACTAGTTTGTTTGGAAGTGTAAGCTTCAGCTTTACTTTATGTTGACTTCTCTTCGTAAAAAAGTTGAATCTGCTAAAAATCGAGGACTAAAATCACACGAAATAGTTAATATTTTGACAAAAGAATAACACATCGTGTGCCTGATACTGTACGCGTGCAGATTCTATGTAAGTAGCTGTCAACTAATATACAATAATAGTAATATGTTTTTACCGTTTTACTTTTAAGTTTGATGTCAGCGGAGAGCGCAACTAGAGGTATTCTTAACCAATACAATGTTTTAATTTACCAGGCAAATGAGGAGTTAGTTTCGGTGAATAGCTTTAAGAGGGCGAATGATCGACGATGTAAATTTGTATGGAATGAAATATGGAAAGGGTTGCTGTCCCCAGGTGCTATTTAAACTATTTATCTTTTAAGTAAGTACACTAACTTTTAAACTATGCCCAGCAAATTTGAAACTGATACGTACAGTCCTATTCTTTATCCTGACGCCTCTCATACCTTGTATAAATAAACAAATCAACGCACCACAGGTTGGATCAACAACCCCTGGTCGATGAACGAAATTAAACGGCAGTACAACGGCATGACTGATTCAGCTCAGAGTGACGTCTTGTGTGTATTATTGCAGACAGTGACCATAGACCAGTTCCAAAGATTCATGTCTAGCTTAGCGGTTAGAGCATCAGCGCAGAAGGTTCAGGGTTCAAATCCCAGTGTCACCTAGTCTAGGGAGTAGCTAAGGATCCATTGGATCTATGCGATCTCAACGGTCGACTCAACCGAATGATAGGAAACTTAATTGAGGGTTAAATGAGGAGGGGTACCTGTTAACAGTTCAAGAAACTTCCTAGGATACCCCTTCAGTGCATACTGTAAACATAGTGCTATTAACTATTATATCGGCCAATGAAGAGGAGTCCGTTGTAACAGAGTCAGGACCATCTTTGCTTTAGTCCACGAACACAGTTTAAACAAATGTCCATTCTGTAATGTAGAGATCGCACCAAATGATAAATCCTCAAACTGGATTACAGACAGGGTAAGTTATTGTACGGGGGAGGGGGGAGGTGGTATAGTACACATACGTTAGGCTCTTATTAAGTTACTAATTCGCTCGCCCAAAAATTTCACATGACTTTCTCCGTAGCTTAGTGCACTGATTCCCACTATTGGAATCGTTCTGAATAGCCGATCCTTACCAACTCCGTGGATTCGACTGGTGGTGTCTGATCCAGTGAAAGCGTGGCACAGAAATCGTGCAGAAAGCCCAATTTCAGTATCCTAGCACCCTGTCATGTGATATGCGATTAGGTAATCATTGATAACCCAATCAATTTCGCTAACGAGATAAACAAATTGCTTGATAACTTCGTAATTTTCAATCCGTTTCGCACATCGTTTTGATTTGCAGAGAGGCAGTTGAGTGGTCTAATCAAGTTGTTGTTTCTGTAATTGGTGATGATACTGATTTGCTTGTCATTTTACTGCACATGACAAAACACTTTGCATTTGACCAACAACTGTTTCTCACCACCAAAAGCTACATCTATGACATTGAGAACATTCGAAGTGCGACTGGTAGGAGGTACGTAAACACGATACTGCTGCATGCCACGCTTTCACTGGATTGGTAAGGATCGGCTCTTCAGAACGATCGCATCCATCGATGAAAGTGTAATAGATGCCTTTTATTCGGCAAATTCTACACCAGCTACCATAAAGTATGTCGAGAACTTTTGATGCTGCAGCTGATTTCATCAAAATCGAGATCACTAGATGAAGCTAGACTTTCAGTTCTTGAACAGAAGTCGCAATCTTTAACAGCAGACATCAAGTGCGAACAGCTTCCGCCAACATCTGGGGCAGCTGAACAACATTCTTATCGTGTTTACCATCAGCTGCTGGCGTGGGATGAGAATGACCTAGATCCGATAAGTTGGGGATGGAAGATGAACAATGGGACACATGTACCAGTGACCACTCTTATGAGTACAGCTCCGAAAAAGCTCATTTAAAAAATCATTTGCAACTGTTTAAAATCAGGTTGTGGCAATGCTTGTTCATGCAGAAAAGCAGGAATACATTGTGGATCAACCTCAAATGTCAGGACAATTGCACCAATGTGCTAGCTGAGGACTCATAAGTTAGACTCTTATCTAGTATATATGGTTATATAAAGTACTACTTCGGTTTCCCGATTAATTTAATGAAAATTTGTTAATTATTCGTGATATGTAATTTTAAAATATTTTGATCAAAAATAATTTTTATAATTTTTGAATATTTGTTTAATAATCGAATTAGCTAATTGATTAATTATCTAATCCAAAGGTTGTCAGATAAAAAGTTGTTCTCTTTTATATTTTGAACATATTGGTTCAATCTAGAACCTTCTACGAAATTCAGAAGTCGTTTTATTAGCGGAGATTCGATGTGGTAAAAAGTGGTAAATAGTGGTTTTTCTTTACAAATTTCGAAAATTTTACAAGTCCAAAATATTGAAAGTGAAAATTTTTATAAAAATTAGTTCATTATACGTGGAATGTAATTGTAAACATTTTTTGTGAAAATATATTTTTGAAATATTTGAAAATTTATTAATTATTTAATTAATTAATTAAATAATTTATTTTCGAAAAAGTTGTTAAAGAAAAAGTTGTTCTTCTTTGTTTTCTAAACACAATGCTTTAAACTAGAGTCTTCAAGGATATTCAGAACGTGACTTATTTACAGAAAACCAAAGTGGTAAAAAGGTGGTAAAAAAGTGGTAATTGTGGATTTTCCTGAAGTCGAGGATTTTGGGAACTCTCTGGAATGATTCCTGGGACCTGTCCCGACCATATCCCGTTAAAATCGCTTTGTTGCGAATTTTGTCCGACAAAAAGACGGATTTGACTGTACTATACACTATTACCTGTAATAGGTATATCTCCAGAACTTGTACCACTCAACCGTGCATAATTTGGTATTGATACAATATAGTCTTTTAAGGACACGTTTTACCCTACGTATTGCTTCATATTGTCGATTCTTTCTTTCATATTATTGCTGTATCGTATATATACGATCATATATATACGATTATATGTAATATACTATTTGTTAAAGTTTCAATTCAAATCAATCAAATCGTACGAAATACATTTCTTGTGATAAAAAGAACCGTAAATCCATTAATTTGCACTATAAGTTACCGACATAATAAAATGTGTTGAGTGTTCGCCTATTTAAATGTAACGACACCTGTCATTATGAATTTTATATAAATACATTATGTTAATAGCCATATTATCAGGGTTTTAACCTACGTTAATCGGAGCCAAGTAGTTATTCTAGTCAGAAACAAACTGCCTGCTTCAGCAAATTCTGCTTCTAAATCCGGTCCACTGTCATCTTTGTGTCGCGATATAAAGTTAGATAAAATCTTCTCTCGAGTCTTTGTCTTTCCCTGCAACATTATATAGTAATGAAGCAATTTCGGGGGATCCCTTGCAAGTATAAAATGTCATATTTCTACAACGAGTAGGGCTCTAAGATATCTCGAATGAGCTTTGGCTGGGATTGGCCAACCAACCGCGACCACCATAAGGCAATTCAAAAGGGAGATATCTTTTATTATATTGGTTAAGAGCTGAGACTCCAGAGCATTGTATCTAATCTATTTCTATTGTCAAACAAGTCGTAATAGTCGACTATTAAAATAATTCTGTAACCTGCCCAGCCTCTGGTATGGAGTACCCAAACAAATGGAAAGTAAGGAGTTCTAAGATATACTTGGCTACTGATAATCCCAAAGAAGGTCAAAACTGTCGGAGCTGAACAAAAGTGTCTTCAAACACAATTGAAAGCTTTTATAACATGATACAATTGGTAGAGAGCTAGCATTTACGTGTCATGAACCAGAGTATAAGGGGGAGGGGTGGAGCAGGCTGGGTGCCGAAGGATTTTTAATGTGATATTTAGAAGGCACTTACGTGATCCCATTCGTGGAGAAGTTGTTGAAGTCCAATTGTTGAGGTCTTCATTACCATTCTCTATTAAGATAAAACTTAAACTCAGCAGTGTTTAATATAAACATTCCAGACATGTACTTGAATGCTAGGTAAGGACTCGACACAAATACTAATTAAAGATCTTACACCAATTATTTGTAATAGATATGCAGTTCTTGATACACGAAATTAACGCTATTTGAAGATAGCTTTGATGAGCTAATTCTTATCGGGAGGTTCGATTTTAATAGAGAAATTATGTAATGTCAGGAATCAAGAGTAATGAAAAAATCAGTGGATTTTAGAACAAATATATAAAAGCTTCGTGATTACAAAATTTGTAATTATCTAGATCAAGTTCAAGAATAATAATTGTTCAAGAATTAGTTAATATCCAATAAAAATAAATGATTATCTTCAATCTTTGATAAAGCATCACGATGATGAAACCGTAATATATTCACTGATTGTTTAACCAACATAACTAAATCACACCATGTAGTCAAGTAAAAATGAGTAAATAAAAATATAAATTAAATCACTATAATAAACAAATTCAATCTTGGCTTTAAGTCCGGAACATGAAACTTGAAAAAATCAAACCAACAAAATAAGAAATCAATCGAAATTGAGTAAGTATTAAGTAACAGTCAGCTCGTATTAACTTCTCGAATATTGAATTATGAAAATAACAACAATTAACATAAATTATGATCAACGTAATCATCAATATAATCTAATACTCAACAATTTCCAAACTTCAAGTTTAACCTTGATGGAATCTATATATTACTCTGCAGGTCAACCTGCAAAGATACGAACAAGTTTGTTTGATGTAAAACACGAACTCGGCACGAAAATTATAACAATGTGCCATGTGAAATATCTCATAGTCTTTAACTACATTACTCGGTATTGGCAATCCTAACCTCAAAGCTCTTCTCGTAACCGCAAGTTTTTTAGCCTCTAGAATCAGCTGGACATCTATTGGAACAATATCGTGCATGTTAGCTATCTCGCTTGCAACAATCAGGTATTTGCAAGGTAACTTCTCCCAAGCCCCTTTGAAGCACCCTTTTCCGACCCAGCTCCAGAAATCTGTAACTTCTGACAGAAAACAACTGGATTTCTCTCCAGATAAGCAGTCTGGGTCAATAGCAAAACAACTGTTTTCATGTAAATCACGGATCAAGGTGGAGGTTATTGAGTTAAGTTTGTACGGGTGTATTCCAGATCCGATAGAAAGAGATTTGAATAAATGTATCACTGACTTGCACAAGGTATCTCTGCTACTTAATAAGGCAGGAGAATCTTCTTTAAAGCTGTCAAGCACAGCATTGGGGAAATTGTCAGTGGTTTTGGTCGGCAGTTCATTCAGCAATTCCTCAAGTTTCTGCAGTAACGGACCCCGCTCCTCCGGGTCCCCCTTTCCTTCCAATATCTCGTCTATTCGAGACATTTGGGCGTGTGCCAAGTTGAGCTCGTCAGTGTTTGGTTGATAAGGCGGAAGGGGAGCTGGTTTCCAAGTTGAACAAGGAATAGCCGGAGGGGTCGTTGGGAGAGGGTTGAAGGAGTTGTGAGTTGGAAAATCAGTGTCGGATAAATGCTTCTTAATGAATCTGATCAAGTCTTTCACAGAGGCTGGTTTGTGAGGTGCGTGTTCGAACAAGACTGGAAAGTCTGATGTCTGAGTATACAAGTGGACATTTGGGATACTGTCTACGGTAATCCGGCTGCCTCGTAAGTTGTTGTTTTTATCAATGTCTATGGCAACAAATGTTAGAGAGAGGTGAGAACGTAGAAGTCTGGCAGCAGCCTCTACTTTCCGCCTCATGATGTGACAATATCCACACCATTTAGTGTACCCAAACACTAGATAGGCTCGTGTTTTATCGTCTTCTATTGACAACAAGTCAAGTCGAGATATCTCGTGGACAAACTCTTTTTGAAAATCGGAGTATTTTTCAGGTTCATCTTCATTTTCACTTTTTGGATTTATTCCAGATGGATTAACATGATATTTTTCGTTTTCTTTCTCCGGCCCATTGAGAAATGTCCAAAATTTGTCATCTTCTAGACTATTGTTAGTTAAATCAATAGTGAAAACATTTTGACCCTCACTGTCAACCTTAGTGATAGCTTCAGTGAACTGCCTCTCAGTGTTGTTTACTCCAAACTGTGTGACCAGGTCAGCCCAGATAACAGTATCCAGAGCGTAGAACACCACATTATTACCAGGCTCACATCCTGCACTCTGATGAGCTGTGTGGTGCAAGTTAGCCGCACGATTTATTAAGAACTCCAGGTCAGAGTGCAACTGTTCCACCTCGGTGCACTCAGTACACTTATCTTCATAACTCTCACTGCACATCAGTTCGCTCTCCATGAAAGTGTGCTGAGTCAGCACTGTCAGATCTTCTGTGATTTTAGAGTGCGCAGCAGGGAAGAGGCTCGGAAGTAGCGAGGTGCGCTGACGGTTAAAGTAGCATTGTTGAACGTAGTTAGGCGTCTGGAAGGAGGAGTGGAAGCAAGGGAGGAGGGTGTCTTGTGAGAGGGTGGTGTCCAGGAAACATGGGTTCAGACATGTCATATTGGGCTTGCAGTGGATCTGAAATATTTTGCAGTTAGAACTTTAAAATTATTGGAAATAATACCCGGAATATTGCTTCTAGTTGGTTTAATACGAAAAAATAAATATTCTCAATATTCAATAAATTAACAAACTGTTCAAAATTATTTACCTTGAGCTCAGGTTTGGTGTGACAGTTCTTGTAAGACATAACAGACCTCATATAACTCACAAAATTATCTGAGTTCTGATGAAGTGGAGAGGAAAATATAACCGAAACATTATTGTTCCCAGCCAACGCATTGAATCCCTGATGTCCTAGATATTTGATGGACAATTTGTCGCCTTTCACCTTCAACCAAGTGAGCAATTCCCGGTGCAGTAACTTGTGATGTCTCCCTTGAAATGGAGAAAGTGTTTCAAACAGCACATATTTATAAACCATAGTTTTGAGTTGAGCGCTTTCCAAGACACTGACATGGCGCGTGCTCAGTACTATAAAGGGAACGTAGTAAGAGTCCATGTACTCAAGGTGATGTATAATCGCCGCCTTCAGAAACTCCTTGTAGTCTTCGTTTTCCTCGTAGCCACTGAACAGTCCTATGACACAGCGCTGATGTTTGCCTAGGATGCTGGTTAGCTCTGAGATGCTGTCCACAAATAGAACTGGTTCGTAGAGCCGCTCTAGCTCCGTGGCAAAGGCGGGCGCGTACGTGGATAATGAGTATATGTACGGGATGTAATCTACATCTTTATGATAAATTAGAACTTGAGGGTAATCCCAGGAATTATAATTTTCATAACAACTTGTTCCTTTGATCCAACAGTTCATTGCTACAAACTCAATGTCTGCGTCTTGCCAATTAGGTGCTAACAGCGAGAAATAGTTCACGACCCGAAGAGAAGGGCGACTCCACGGAGCGTACAACACAGCTACAGTCATGTAGTGTTGGGTTATCACTTCTTCTAGCTGAGCTATATTTCCATCTGATATGTGAGTGAAAGGGACTGGAATTGGGATCTTAAGGTCCTTGCGTGGGTCCCATTTTGCTCCTACTTTCGGTTTCTCCTGTGGTGAGACAATCAATTTAATACTTAGTTTCATTTAAGTTATATTATAAGTGTTGGTAAGTATACAACTTGGAATGTTCAAATAATAATGATATCAATAATCATTAAAATATAATTATATAACTTATATTTCAATGCTCAAACATTGAAATTTATTCAAAATTGACAAACCTTGGGTATTTTAAGGAGGCGGCCGTAAGCACAGAACTGAACAGTCAAACACACGATAAAAGTTACCAGGAAACACATGTTATACCCTGGCTGTTTCTCTTGCGCTTTTTTAGTGTTCTCTTCAACAGTTTTAGTTTCTTCTGTTTTATCTGCTTCTGTTTGAACTTGGTTTTCTGCGATGAGTTTTTCGATTTCTGTCTCTGGTGATTTTTTAGATCTCGCACTGAGGGAGGTCCTGAGGATAGAATATTCGGGTGATTTGGCAACTGTAGCGACTTGTGTGGTGTCTGGGCTGATTAGGTCTTTGGTTTTATCGGGTGATTTACTTTTAGTGACAGGAGAGCTGGTTTTGATATCAGAGACTTGTTGTTTGTCTTCAGATACGGTGGAGACTTGTTGTTTGTCTTCAGATACGGTGGAGACTTGTTGTTTGTCTTCAGATACGGTGGAGACTTGTTGTTTGTCTTCAGATACGGTGGAGACTTGTTGTTTGTCTTCAGATACGGTGGAGACTTGTTGTTTGTCTTCAGATACGGTGGAGACTTGTTGTTTGTCTTCAGATACGGTGGAGACTTCTGGTGAAGACTGACTTGTGCTACTGTTGATTTGCGTGCTGTTGATATGCAATGAATTCTGAAAAGAAATGTGTTTTAGTTTTTTAATAAACTTAACCAGTAACCATGCATTTGTTCAGAGGACCTCCTCAAAGAAATTCAATTTAATAATTTACACACAACATGATAACAACCAGCAGAACTCAGCAACATTTAGTGCTGTAAACAATTCAGCACAAAGCTAAAAATATAAGCTTCACAGTTCACCCTCACTAACAAGTACAACCTACTCGATAAATGCACCTTGGTTTAGACTGTAGTCTGTACGGGTATTAAACACTAATGCTATACATATTGCCAATATTGCAATTGATTCTATTTAAACAAAGCATTAAGCAATAAAGCACACGATAATGCTATAAAAGTTTTATATTTTTATCTTCGAAGTTCGAATTTTACCGATATTAATTTTATTAAGGATTTGTCATGACTCAATGTTTCTGCTTTTTTGGAAATGAAATTCAATTAATGATATTGTAAGTATATAATGATGATGTAACAAGGTTACATAGCATAGGAGCATAATTGAAGTATGCAGATTACTTCTATTATCTTGTCAAATATATCGCCGATAACCGATATTATCGCGATAATTTTGAAAAAGTTATCGATTATCGCGATTAAAAAAATTGTACCGATAATGGCAACCCTAATACATTAATGTGACTTACATCTTTCAAAAACACAACACACTGCAAATTAGACTTGTTAAGAATGTAACAAAACTTGAAAGTGTTGTACGAAGGAGAATATTATATCGTTAATTAAACGTAACACAAAAGAGGGTCTTCCTAGACTACGTGGACCACTATAAGACCAAGGTGTAAATCTTATTATATAGTATTATATAATATACATTATGTTCTGTACATTGACACCTGTTACCTAGGCGACTATTATTGTGCAGCTGGACGAAAGTTAACATTGAATCGCGATCTTAAACATAAGGCCTTTACTGCAGCGAGGGCGTTATTTTGTCTTCGTTAAAAAGCCAAAAATATTTGTTGTAATACAAGAATAAGAGCGGATTGTAATGTCACCTGATCCAAAATATTGCTTCGCATCATGATTGGCATGGCACGCGATTTTATGACAGCTCCAGTAGTATTTTTCTGATATAATTATAGCAGAAATTAAATTTGAATTAACTAAAATTAAACATTGTACTTTTAACTTAAAGCTTCAAGTCCTAATTAAATAAGATACCTAACTTAAATTTGTTGAAAGAGATATTCACAAGCCTGGTACAGCCTACACCAAAGAAGCTAAATGAATTAGCTTATTTAATGGGCTAACTAATCCTAGAAACAATGGACTAACGTTTGAAAGTGAAGAATGGCCCGCCTCCAATGGAGTTGCCTCATTCATCCGCCTCCACGCTACTTCTTCTGTTTGTTATCGCTAAATTTCATCTCACTCCGCAAACGTTTCTTTATAAGCAGGATACTCTGATCAGGCCATAAAGCTTCTCCTGAGTTTCACAGATTAGTTGTAACGCCTAACGGTAAATGGTCATAATCCTATTATTACTGATCATACTGTGAAAACAAAAGAGCGTGGTAATTATCATAAAGATTCAGAGGAGATAATGAAAACTATTATATTTGTGACATAGATTTAAATACATATTGATACGCAAATGTTTTTCGATTTTTAAACAATAAATTTTGTCTCAAAACATCAATTGGAACAAGTTACGTCTGACCACCTAATAACCATAAAATATTGTCAAGAAATCGTGGTGAATAAACATAAACTGTAACTACAAGCAGTTCTTTTAATTTGTAAAAAGTAGGTTAGATTCTAATTCTTTAGAATCAAATAAACCTCCAAATTCATAAATAAATATTCGAAATTCTTCAGCTTTTAATTACATTATTATCTAGAGCACCCACTATACCACTATTATAAAAGTACTGTAATAATAATACGTGATTAATAAATATTCATGCTGGAAATTGAAGCAATTGCTAACGTCCAACTATGTACTTCTTAGCTATTAGAACCGTGTACAATAAAATCAAATTGACATAAACAATTAATTTATAAACATCTAACCCAAAAAATTATCATGTTTTAGTAAATATAAATATTGATTAGATTAGCTGTAAAACATATAATACAGAAATACTGAACTAAACCCTTATTCAGATTTCAGTCGTCCTGTTACAGACCAAGCACCAATCAAATACCGAGTCCTAATCATAAGTAAATCCTTTGCCATCTCTAACCAACTGTAAATAGGTACTATTTTAGATCCATCAATTTCTTCCCAATTTACTGCCACCTCAGTAGCTTTTATACCCAGAATATTGGCTATCACAAATATCTCCACATCAAATGCCCAGCGCTCGATATTCATCTGAGGGAATATGACGCGCGCTGCAGATCGAGTAAATAGCTTAAACCCACACTGTGTATCTTTTATATTACTGATTCCCCCAACTATAAATACAAACATATGGAATCCATACATCAGTATATTTCGGAGGAAGCTTCTGTTAGCAACAGCATCATCTTTGAGATGTGCTCGAGAGCCCACTGCAATACCATACCTCGATTTAGAGGTTTCCAGAAGATTCTTCAGACTTGCCCTGACTTTTCCAAGATCGTTAATGTCCGTAGCACCGTCAGCATCAGCAAACAGGATCTCTTTACCACGTGAACTCAGCACTCCTTGTCTAACTGCTCCTCCTTTTCCTCTATTAGCAGGAAGCTTCATACACCTGTAGATTTAAAGTTTCAGTCTCAAAATATTGATGGCTTTTAGAATTTTGTCAATAGTATTGTATCTTTTATGGTTGCAACACTTTCACTTGATAGGTGGCTATTAAATTATTCAATATGTACTATTATTCAATTCAATAAAGACAAAGCTCAACCTTTAAAGTCAGGTATTATCTAGATAAAAGGCAGTTTACGTAGAACAAAAGCAAACAATTCTTATGATAGTTAACACTGTACTATTTATAGCTAATTTTAAATCTCCGGTCATAATTCAGAGATTTAAAATTAGGTGAGAGTTAGGAAGTCACGAAATAAAAGGTGTGGTAACTCGTTTGTGAATGTGTTAAGATTATCGAATTAATGGTTAGAACGATCGGCTATATTATCTTAGATTAAGAATTGAGATGTGTATTTTTGTGTTAAAAGATGGCTGACAGATAGTTAAAATTAGCTTTCTTTCAGTGACAAAGGAATTAAACATACCTGATGACATCACTCCCATGTTTAATTGAATAACAATGTACAACTTCGACCGTACTGTCTTTACTTCCATCATCAACAACTATAATTTCGTAACTATAATCCACAGTGTCTAAGTAGGGAAACAACACATCAAGGAACACAGGTAGTCTTTTACTTTCATTGTAAGCTGGTATCACTATTGTCAAGTCTAGTGTTGGAGAGTTCTCTATTGAAGGAAAGGGTATCTTCTTGTCTAGTGCTGCATCATGGAAGTCTAACTGCAACCTGAAATTAATAGATAGTATTATCAATGAATTATTATGTTCAACACGGAAGCTGTTTGAAATAAGAGAACCCTAGGTAAATGTTTATAATGATTATAAAAATTTACCTTGTTTTGTCTGATAAGGATGCAGTTGCTCTGATCACAAAAAGTATTGCCACAAATAGAAGCAATCCTAATGCGAATCCATAACCTACATAGAGGAGTAGCAAGGACATCCTGTGGATTATTTTAGTTATTTTTAATCTTTCCAATCATAATTAATGCAATCCAGAAGTTAGAAGTATTGCAATATCCGACAACAGAAGTTACGGGTCACTGCGCTGTAAAAAAATTTCTGTGGACGTTGTGATTTCAGAACAATAAATTTAAAGTTGTAGGCATTTCATCGGCCCTGAGGATACAACATTGTTCAGAAAATTCACACAGAAAATGTGTAGTGTCTTAATCTGAATAAGGCTGTATCTAATAACAGGTTAAGAATTGTGATGTATTGCACACAGCTGCTTCTTGACCCCACCTTGTGATCCACTGCAAGAAAACACCAAACGAAGGGTGGTACTACCAAGAATTGTCCTATGATTATCATAATTTTGAACGTAAACCAATCGAAGCAGGCTCAATCGAAGATTTCTAGAAGTTCTTAAGGCCGAGCGTGTGTTTCTAACATTCGCCTTTTAAAATTTCCCTTGTTTCACTTTGTCTGTCGATAGCCTTTGGGGGGGGGGGGGGGGTGGGGGAATTGTCGATTGACTGTGAGAAAATTTATAAAAACTTAACTTAAGTACCAGCCAAGTGCACGTTTCGCTCTAAAACTCACTTTTACAAATATTTTACCAGCATATTCTCTACAACCAGGATAGTAAAAAAAATTTAAGGGGGGGGGCGTTCTACAGGTACGTTTCGCCACTGCAGACTTGTCCATGATATATATATATATATAAACGGAGAGAACGTGTATGTAAGGGCTCTATCCAGAGCCCTTGCGCTTGCAGTTTTCTTTACTTGTGAAACAAGCAGTGACGCGAAAGCACATGGTGAATGTATGTAACAACAAACATTTCTATTCAATACGCAACCATGATGATTAATTTGTAGTATGACAGTAAGGTATATAAGAAGTTATTTAATTTTGCTTGGGCTATTATATTGACTAGGTATTGAGGTTTAATGATGATATGGAATTTGAATTCTATATAAATTTACACTATGTGGTTGGGGCATTTTGCATAGTAAATATGGTTACTACTCATATATATCATATTATTTGATTGGTATTCGATTTCTGATTATTTCTCTAGGAATATGATTATTATATCTCAATTTGGCTTTAGGTAGGGTGCCCCGCTAAAAGAACTGGATTCTTCCAGGAAGCATCCCGTGCACAGAGCTTGGTCTACATAAATATTAAATTATTAACCATTCATTCTGTATGTGCACGAAAATTTATTTCAATCAATGATGAAAAAATGTTTAGCACAAATACTCAAGTTTGCATGAAACTGCCAATCGCTAAACTTTTGGAAAATTTTATATAATAGCGCTCGATTCTCAAAAATAATACTGCGTCACTTATTCTTCGCTCAAGATGTGCGCGGCGCGCTTGGAATTTGAAATATATTTAATACTAGTGTAAACCGTGCCTTTGGTCAGGACTTTACTAGATTGCAGTTGACTTGCAAAAGTATAAATAGTAATTAGGGGGGGGGGGCAATGGGTATTTTTTGTGAAACTTGATTTTGAGATAGCAGATGACCAACAAACTAGAACCAGTAACCAAACTTTTGAGGAGGTCCCGGACCCCAACCGCCAAAGTCCAAACGGTTTAACGAGTGATACTCGTAAAATATTTGTTCCATGTTTGTAGCGCGATCAGCGATGCGTTACTGTGCCGCGCCGCGCACTCAATGAGGCTTCTCACAGCGACACGGCTTGTCATACGTTGTATGACCCGCCGCGCACGAAGTGCGCGGCTCCCCCTGTATCGTCAGGACGATAAAGTGAAACCATAGTGAAACCATAGTGAAACGACCGTGGGGGTCGCAACGTGATACAAAACACGGCTAGATCGGCGAGATGCGCTACTGTGCCGCGCCGAGCTGCCATGAATTGACATCGTCAATTAATTCCATATTATTAGGACCGTCGACGAGTCCAACTCGGCGCGCGTCCTGGTAGGTTATAGTTATAAACCTACAACCAAACGGTGCGCGCCTAGGACAGCAACGCCCATATTTGGTCAAAATTTATTGGGCCGCGCTCAGCCTGTAATTCCGCCTAATCTCTATTCATGTTAATGAACATGATAGCCTGAGGTCCCCATTTCATGGCTCTTACTAAATCGCTCGCCCAAAAATTTCACGTTACTTTGGTTTTGCAGCCGTACAAAACGGTTTTACATAAACTCTAATCCCAACCCTAACCATAACCCCGAAGCTATCCATAATCTTAACCACAACACTAACCCTAACCCGAAATAATCGAATTCACGTTTTACTAGCCTGTCACGTGACCAAAACGGTTTTTTGCCCATAACTCTCCAGGGAAGCATTTTAACCCTACGTCATGGGGGGTGATTCGGAATCAGCGTCCAAAAATACACCGATCTAGATCACTTTCATGCCTAAAGGGCCTTTTCATAAGAATTTTCTTAAAATTTGGGCGAGCGATTTAGTAGGAGCGCCATCTCATTGCATGGAAGGCCGGTTGACATCGTCAATCAACACTTGAAGTTGACTGTCACGTAACTTTTTAACCCGTTCTTCAACTGGCCCTGAACAACTATTCGAAACCTTAACCCACAGCTGAAACCAGGTTTTCGATCAAACGGCGCCAAAAGCAATTAACCTCATGAAGCAGCTTTGCTCTCGCCGGGTTAATCCATTAACAGTGGTCAAGCAATATATTGCATGCGTTCGACACTATATAATACTTGTCATACCTTGAATGACCCGCCGCGCACGGGTGCGCGGCTCCCTCTGTATCGTTGAAACTATAGTGAAGCGACAGTGGGGGTCACCACGTGATACAATATAATACTAGCTCCCAGAACTTAATGGAGGGCGTCAGCCTATCACTCGTCGTTCAGCCATACCTTTTAGACAATAGACTGGGACATTGAAGCAAGTGTGAAGTGGTTACCAGGTAAAATGGAGTCTGATCTTGAGCGCCCAATGGCATGGGTTGTGGGAACGGTCGCGAGTGATATCAAGGCCATATGGAGATCACCTAACGTCATGGTGGATCTGATCACACGGCCTCTCACAGCGGTTGCACATTGTTATCGGACACGGGGCTTCGTCGGCACAATCTATGTTAAACCAAAAGTTGATCACACTAATTTTGATTAAAAATGTGTCTTGATTTATGTGCTTCGTCGGCACAATCTATGTTAAACCAAAAGTTGATCACACTAATTTTGATTAAAAATGTGTCTTGATTTATGTGTACTGTACATTTTACATCGGTTAAATTCAGAAAAATCTTGTTAGAAACAGAATTTGTAAACTTCTAGATGAATTAATATTCTCGAAATAACCCACGATTACTAAAAGTAAAACAGAAACATCGTATATCTATCAAAACGAGTAATCAAAGTTAAATTCTATTTCAATATTACTGCTAAGGTCACAACGAAGAACCCTTTAATGTAGTGTGAGATTCAGATCACAATCAAATTATAAAACTAAGTATGTTTTGCTGACCAAAAACCGAAAATCGTTGCACTCCACTTTCTAATATTGGGGGGGGGGGGGGGGGGGGGGGATAACGTATTTTTTGTTTTTTGTTTTTTCAAAAAATCAATTCCACCTAAACAAAAAAAACAAAAAAAACAAAAAATTGTTTTTGGCTATTTCACATGAGATAAGGGTTAGATAAGGTTGACAGCACTGTAACACAAATAGATGATAGTAATAAAACTTGAAGCGACAGTAAAATTAACAATTAAAGAATACGGTCTGTTGTTTTCACGAATTCCGAAATACAAATTCAGTAATATGAGGATTCTTCAGTTTTTGAAATTTTAGATAAGAAGGCGGAACATAATTTCAATTACTGCATCCACAGAACAGTCAATTCAACTATAATAAGGTCACATTAATGCCTCAAAACAAACACCGTACATATTGCTTGGTTTTAAGATCGAAGATCCACACTGTGACACCTTCACTGTTGTTAATGTTAATGTTATCAATCGGAATTTTAATTTAACATGGTCCAAACAGCAATAACGAATGAAGTTAGACTTAGAGGTAACAACGACTGAACACGTTCCCATAATTAAGCTACATGTACAATACATGTACAAAACTATGTATTACATACAAGACAACAAGAAGCAAACAATAGTATGTAGTAGACACTTTGGAATACATAACTGTTTTTTATCTTTATTTTATTTCTGTTTTTGTTTTTTTTGTTTTTGTTTTTTTTTTGGAAAAAAGAAAAAAAAAACAAAAAAAAAACAAAAAAGAAAAAAAACAAAAAAAACATTGTTTTTGTTTTTGTTTTTTTGTTTTTTTTTGGAAAAAACAAAAAAAAACAAAAAACACAAAAAACAAAAAAAACAAAAAAAACAAAAAACATTGTTTTTGTTTTTGTTTTTTTGTTTTTTTTTGTTTTTTTTGTTTTTTGTTTTTTTTGTTTTTTCCAAAAAATGAATTCCACCTAAACAAAAAAAACAAAAAATACGTTATCTCCCCCCCAATATTATTCGAAAAATTATATAAGTATAAATACTCATAAAATTCAGACATGTCACTTCACAGAATGTATTCGTGCAATCTATTCACAGTTCACACAAGTAATAAGGGTGGAGGTTAAAAGAAACACAAATCCGGGAAAATAATAATAATTAAAAAGTACAAAACCAAAAATACAATATATGAGTGGCTAAAAATCACATATCATTCTTCCCAGATAAGATAATAAGTCATAGCAGCAAATATTTTTTGAAACACAATAGGTATGAAAAAGTTAAGCTAAAGGTATTCAACCACTACCCATGAGTTTATATTTCCGTTTCAACCTGTTCGTCTCCTTATTCCTCTGTTTATACAGGGTCGGAGGCTCTGAGATGGTGGTAGCGATGGGTTTGTCGGAGGGGACATTGAGCCCCGGCTCACACCATTTGCACGTGTCGTGGTTAGCGTGGATGTGGAGTTGGAGAGTCGTGCTCCCGATACGTAGCTCGTCTAGGTGGGACAGTTCGAATCTGGGGGTCATCATGTTACAGTGTGGAAGGGATTTTTGATATTCACAAATCGGGTTTTAGGCTATTATCGGAAATATTTGCGTGCTGATGCTTCCGTAGAGTTTAAAAACAAACGAGAATATTTCGTTATGCTAAAAACCTTTCGCTGACAACTTTTTGAACACTTAGTCTCACTCCGTTGAGAAATGAACCGTTCATTGTCCCCTCGTCCATTATGTAATACCTGTAAAACAACTATATATCAACATTTCAAATCGGAGAATTCAAACTAAATATTGAAGAACATAATGGCAAAGAAGACCACATAACAACTATAATACTAGCTACACTCTACGGTGATATTGAGGCACTCACCTGCCACTACAGTAGGAGACAGTAGCGTGACGTTTACTGACTCTTATCTCTGGAAACACTGCCACGTGGTTACCTTCTGAAGAAATACAAAGTGGTAGGGTCTGGGTTACTGGGTATTTCATCGATATGGTTTAAGAATTCGTATTAGTATTGAGTACTCTATGAAAATAAGTCCATTTATTCGCACCAAGAACGAGATTATCATGGATTAAAGAATGCAGATTTTAAATAAATATCATCAAGAAGAGTATATAATATGGACAACCAACCTCGGCCTACAGAACCACCCATACAAGTAAACATGTACAGTTGTCCTGGTTTAACTTTGTGACAGGATGTATCTTTTACTATCGCCCTGATACACGTCTTTGCAAACGCTGAGGAGATATATGGTTAGCTCGGAAACTCGGTTGGTTTAAGAAGAGTAGCTAATAGTAGGGAGCGATTGAAACTTTTTAATGTTAAATTAGATCTGTCTTTTAATATGTCAGGAAGTTGTGCATCTTGGACGCAACATTTTGAATTGGATGAGTGTGTTTGTAGATTATGGCTCGTGTTCAGAAGAGATTTTTGATTAAATATATATGTAGTTGAGTAGAAACTTTACCCCGGTCCCCGACCACACTGAACATTATGAGTCACACATTTTGAGTACCGTAAACTTGATCATAGTGCAAGAAAAGTATGGAGTCATCCTGTAGTTTGTTCTACACATTCTAACAACAACCCAGTGTTCTCTTAGAGCGGGTACGATTATCCGGTGTCAAGTTTTAGGAGAAATCATTAAAATCGGCCCGAGTTCCAGGTTTAGCGTTTAGTGACGGAAAATGTTTGCGAGTTAATCGATACAAATATTTCAAACTAATCTTTGGGTAAACTTAATTGGAAAATAGAAGTGATTTTTGATTCGTTACTCGGTTCTCTCATCACGAACATGCTTCATGTTAATATTCAAGAGGGAGTTTGATTTAATTGGATTTGCAAATACGGACGAGAAATTCGGCAGGCAGATAGTTCTCAAATCCCGTTCCCAAGACAACAAAAGTGATATCCCTACCTTGTTCGATGATGACGATGCCGAACTTATGTTCGATACAGTTAAAATCACTTCAAACGACTCTACAGTTTGAGTTACAGTTGTTTCCAAAGGTAAACACGGTCGGTCGGGCCGCACGTGACTTTTTCAAATGTGGAGGATGCAAGATTTTATCATATCTAATGTCATCGCGCGTTACGCAATATAACATTGAAAACTGTGACCAACTCACCCGATTTGGTCTCGTCTGGCTTAGCGCTCGAATGGTAAGAGTACTTCCCTTCCTCTAGCGTGTAAAACACAGACATCTTTGTGTCATAGTAGAGACCTGAACTCTGGCAGTAGTATAAACCTGCGATGACATAAATAATCAGCAAAACACAAAATCGGATTAAATACAACTAATAAACTCTTCGTCAATAAACCAACTAAATCATAATGCTTGAAATTTTAACGGAGAATGCTTATTGATCATCATCATCATCATCACTGACCTGTATTTTTGTTGAAGTACATGTTCATGCTAGCAATAAACTCTACTCCACTTTCTTTCATGGCCAGATAGGCGGCATCTTTTAGCTCGTCACTGACTCTGTAACAAGAGTACATATAATCAGCTGTCAGCTCGATAATTCTCCACTACCCAGGAATAGCTTTCTTTTCTGGGAACACGGCACTTCCCGACCACGTTTTTAGCATCACACTTACGTAACTATTAGTTTACATGCGGAATTCTTGCTCAGTCAAAAGACTGGGGTTACGACTTTTTGGGATTTCTGCCAAGATCGCTAAATAAAAAAGAAAGAAGTTCACGCAACACAATTTGTTAATAAACTGATAAAAAGGGCAAATCAACAGGCTTTGAAAAACCGATCTAAAAAGCCCATGTGAGGATATTATGCGAGACATACACATGTACGGTAGAGAGGCGGCACCCCGCCTGTAGAGAACACTGTGTCGTAAGGGAAGTGTAAAATAATAAAACCCGTATTTTGTCCTTGTTCAAGTCAATCTATTATAGACATTCGATGACAGACTGAAAAAGGCCAAACTTCTGCTTTCGACTCGATAGTTTCATGGAAAAAAATTAGCACAGAAACCCGAGAAACCGTCACCCATCTCTAATGAATGGCATGATCAACGCCACAATATAAATACTAAGTGTGAGAAAGCAATACACGTATAACAGCATATTGAGTAACATGATATTGTTTTAAAATAAAACAATCGTGGTGCTATATGATATGTACATTACACATATACTCCGTAATACGTAAATGTGTATAATAACCTATTTGCAACGGTAAATTGGTGTATAGGGTATGATGGGATCGGTTTGAAATAGCTAACGGAAGTCTAAAACCTCCGGCAGCATCTAACGACAGTTAACAATTTATTTTGAAACATATATCTATATATATATAAACACCCAGATACATTCAGTTTTTGTTTTTATAAACACTCTTTTAGCATTAACAAAGTAATTAAGTAGCAAAGTAATTGTATCAGGCAATCAAGTACTCAAACAATCAACTTAATTAACTAATTAATCAATTAACTCACGTAGCAGGTTCGTCAGTGAGTTCCCCCTCCTCCTCGGATCCCTCACTGGAATGCTCCTGTTGCTCCTCTTCCGTGACCGGTAATTTAGAGTGGTAGTGGTACACGTTGTTAGCCGTGTCCCAGAAATACAGAATGTCGTTATCTTGACAGTGAAAGAGTTGCGTGTCCTGGAATAGGCTGTTAAAATTAAAGGGTAGGAAATGTTAAACACATCGTTTGGGATTATTCAATCGAAATCAATCTAGCATTATCTTGAGGTTTTTACGGTTTTAACTTTTATCACTCGACTAAACATGATAATTCTGGACATTATGTAAGGACAAATTTGAAAAAATCATGCATGCAACATATCCATAAAGTTATAACAACTGCGACAGGTAAAATAACATTATAAAATGTTCATCTTACGGGATCGTAGAAGTATCCAGATGAAATCTGAACAAACTTGTTCGCGTCCGTGTCGAAAGTAAAATCATCTCCAAAAGACTTGATGAGAACATGTGGCTCCACGTTTGTGTTACATGTAGGACACTTAACTCCTGTCAAATATTAGTAGTAATGATGATCTTTATATTAGAATGACGAATTTCAATAAATTCGGTATAATGCCATTATAATAATGGCTGGGTAGGTAAGATTTTTCAAAAAATTAATACGCATTTCCAAAACGGCAATTGGTTGATTTAGTGAAATGGCATGTAAAAAGTGACCAAATCAAATCATTGCTTTTAACTAAAACTCACTAACCATTCTCATCTGTCTGCACCTCGCTACACTTGCTAGTAGTCCTCTTAGGTACAGCTGCCAGTTTAGCTTGCAAGTCAGCCACATATCCTCTCAACGTCACCTTTTCAGCTTCCGCTTGTTTCAACATGTTCCTCAGTCGCACCAAGCGCTCATCCGTGTCCACAGCTGTCTTCTTAGCAGGTAGCTGCTCCTGTTTCTCATCCACTGACATTAGCTGTTGTAACGAGATTTGCGCGACTGAACTTGTAGATTTTGACGGTGCCACGTGGTGTCCGTTAGTAAGTGTGTCCGTTTTTGCTGCAGCTCCATTTTGGGGTGGCTGAGCAGGACATTTTGGGGCGCTGTTTGCAGGTTGTGAATTTTCAGGTTGTGAATCTGCAGCTTGTGAGCTAGTAGATTGTAAATTGGATGGTTGAGCTGTTGTAGCTGTTCTAAACGGAGCTCGAGTCAATATTCGTTTACATCTCGGATAGAACGGTTTCACTGCCGATGGTAAACTTTTTCCAGAATCAACAGAACTTTCATCAGTCTGGTTTTTCTCAGTTGGACTGTCAACTGTCAGCTTCAAAACATCAAACTCTTCTGTTTTCTGTTTGTCCTTGCCCAGCGCTATAAAGTCATCCATACAGCTAGAGCTCCTATTGTGGGAGATATGTTCAGATGGTTTAACTTTAAAACAATATAATAGTAATAAAATATGGATCCTAACTCTACCAGCTCCCTATTTTATAAAAGAGCAACATACCATATCTCTTAAATTCATTATTCTTATTTGGTACTGAGGATTGGTATTGTTTTTTACACTTCATGAATAGAAACGGATCGTTTGCCCGCATTGAGCGTTATTCTTTGTTTGAAATAATAGTAATAAACCATATTATATTTGAATTCTATTACGGCGTTTTCATTTCATGTTCACGACTCTACCCAAATCTCGATTAGATATTTTGTATCTAATTTGTGTAAGTTTTAATTTATTCTATTGGTAAGTTTCGTGACTGGGCATAATTTTGTTGTAACACAACTGCAGTACAACGGACATTTAAGGCTTGCTTTATTTAAACGTAACCGAATTCAACATCAAATTATTAAATTTGGCCAGGACTATTATAATACAGACACGTACACAGTGAGGTGACAAAGAACTAATCAAGGATCATGAGTAGTGTCAATATAGTAAACGTCCTCATCAAATTGTGGACGGTGGGTAACGACCAACTTCCTTTACAGAGAAACATGATAAACTTAGATCAAATAGTTGTAGAGATCTATATCTGGTAGTTAGTTGTATTGAGCTTTGCAAAACAAGTTATGTTTATCAACCAGGAACTCGAATGACGTCGTTTATATCTATTAAAACATTTTTAGAACTTTTTCCATGAGGGCTCGAATGGTAAAATTGGGAAACAAAATTTCAGACACCACCTCAGGAGAACATAGCCCTCGGTGTATCATATTGTTTAGTTCCAGGCTCTGTCTACTTATCCAACAAATCCCATGTGGAGTGGAAATGTGTGTTGTATACACAGACAAACCTTCCTTATATACGTTGCGCACTGAGCAGTTTGTTGTTCGAGTATTAAAGTCGACATTAACTTGTTATTGTAACATTATATAAATCTACGTTGCCCATTTTATACCGCAGTCATATTGAGTTGCAACAATTTGAAGATTTTTGAATGTTTTCGTGTGGTGATGGGCCTACTTATTCCTACTATAAGTACAGTATACATTGATTTTATACATTCTTCTGCGCACAGTTGAATCAATTTGCTTTAGATCAACAAGGTTGAACGTTTGTAATTTGCTATATACCGGAGTAAAAGACTGTAACTATTTTAATAGAGCCACCTTATGCGGATGTTACAATATCACCATCACGGATCTTCAAAGAACAATCGCGGTATTGCCAATATTCTAGCGCCATGATAACATTGTCTATATTTTAACAATTTAATTAGTATCTAGTTGAAAGTAGAGAAATAATCCTGGCGAAATTATAAATTAACAAGAATAATACTAATTCAGGTCAGAGAAGATGGTTGAGAACAGAATGTTAGTGCTAGTTTGCACATCTCTAGTGTTTGTACTACTGATGCTACTGAATTATAACCATGATGCAGACCATGGTACTACGATAACAGTTGTATCGTCCAACAAAACGGAGAGTGATCGTATCTTAACTCCTCAATCCAACTCAAGCGATATTAAGAATACCGAATCAACAAATGACTCTTCTAAATCGGTGGATCAGAGTGTTAGAAATAATATAATCATCAAAACGGATCAATATGCTCATCTTGAAAGGTATTCAGAACTGAACGACATCCAAAAAGACACACTGGAAAAATCTCACAAAATTCTAGCTAAAATAAGAGAGAACTGTGCAGCACGAAACATTTCAACCGCTTGGAACCTCTTGGATAAGTTTTCAAAGCCACGATTACTCATAGCAAAGAAAAAGTATCACATACTCTATGGAAGTAATCCTAAGACTGGCAGTACGAGTTTTAAAAGGTTTCTGTTTTGTATTGATGGTATTACTGATAAAAGCCACGATTTTCATACCAAGCCGGATGGACATTATATACCGGTTGTGAAAAAACAATTCTTCAAAGATAGGACAGAATTTGACAACTACGTTAAGATAATGGCGATCAGAAACCCAATAGTTCGATTAATATCAGCATTTCGAGACAAGCAACTCCGACACAATAAGTACTTTGTTCCCCCTAAAAATATCACAGACACTGAGCACTTTATTCTATTTGTTGAACAGAGAATCAAGTTGGCAAGTCAATGGGATCCACATATAATGCCACAGTGGAAGCAAATGGATATCTGCCGTTTCCCGTACGACGTGGTGATTCAAGTCGAAGAAATGGGACAGTACATACCACTGATACAGAAACTAACAGGAACTGAGAATGTCGAGTATCCTGGATCAAGAGTGGAACAAGGCAAGGATACCCATGATAGCATGGAGTTTGTTTATCAATATTGGGCCGGTCTAAATGAGGAACAGAGACAGATTGTTTTAAAGATTTATAAAAGAGATTTCGAGATATTAGGGTACACCAAATTGGGTGAGGATGGGTTTCCTTCGTTAAACTTTAAAAGTGAGATCGAAACAAGTGGATAGTATTTTTAACTAGTCAACATTTCAAGCATTGGGTTATATAATATATAGAGATATGTAATGATGGCTCTTAATGTTTCAATAATTATATTATATAATATTCATATTAAGAAATTTTTATTAAATAAACCAACAAATTGAGTTTTCATGTTTTCAAAATACGAGTCATAAACCACATGAACCGAATTTCAGAATTAATTTGTATTTCTTCTTTTATGAATCATTGATAGTGCCGATTTTTCCAGTGCCCAATTACTGGTGCTAAGAATTGGAAGCAAAGACTGGTCAGCGTGTATATTCGCTCAAAGGTAAGTACATCAATAAGGATGACACATAATTCTGTGCGACATACAAATTGTGAACAATGCTGTTCTATTATTATGTGACAACAGACGAGAGGGACAGACATTGTTAGTATACTGTAGTAAGAGGTTTAACATATGTTTAGGTCAACACGAGGGTAGTTTATGGAGTGTTTATAGATTACTAGGGTTACTTTGTTGGAACTATCGACAAGATAGTTAGGGATTGTTTAGCCGGGGCAAGTACTGTAGTAAGAGGTTTAACATATGTTTAGGCCAACACGAGGGTAGTTTATGGAGTGTTCAGAGATTACTAAGGTTACAATGGCGTGACTATCAACTGGATAGTGGAAGATTGTTTAGACTATCGGGGGCAGGAGGGGCAGGGAGAGAGGGTTAGATTTTGGGGATAGTTGAGTGACAGTTTACCCGATCGAGAGGTGGGTCATTTTGATACCGGGCAGGTTCGGGAGCTAGAACCTGTTAAGGTTAGGTCGTTCAGTTAGGTAGCTGGTTATAGTGGTTAGTATAATAGTGGCGGTCGTATAATAGTGGAGCATTACGTAGTTACTGTTATCGGGATAGAGGCATTTGTAGTCAGGCTTTAGCGTAGAGATGGTCAGCAAGGGCTGATTCAGGATGGAGGGCATATGCGGGGATTGGCTTTGTTGTAGCCAGGGTCAACAATGGTTGGTCCGACACCAAGGGGCGTCTCAGCAACAAATGGGCTCAGGTAGAGCAAGAGTGAACTATAGTAGGTTTGGGCCTGATAATATAAGGACGGTCAACGAAGGCTGAAAGTGTTATGTAAGTGTAGTTTAAGGATAAGATTCCGTCAGAGACGGCCAACGAGGGTTGACCGTGATAAGTAAGGGCAGAGTAAGAACGTGCGTTTTACAGTATATATTGTAATTAGGACGTATATTTTGTAGTAATTGGATTGTTAGTCATTTTGGGTTCTTACCTTATTCGATAGAGGGTCATGATTGATGCCGGACTATTATAAGAGACCAGGACCAGTTATGGTTGGATCCTGGTGAGTACGGATGGGACGTGTCGTTAGAGGAAGAATCAGCGATGGTTGATTTAGGTCATCTTGATTAGATTAGGGTACAGGGAGAATCAACGAAGGTTGGTTCGGTTGGATCCTGGATACCTAGGTTGGATCCTGGATACCTAGGATGGGGCCTGTCGTTACGGGGAAATCAACAGTGGTTGATTCAGGTCATCTAGATTAGGTTAAGGATAAGTTTTAAAAGAGTTTAGGTACGGTCAAGGCGAGTTGACTGTACTATCTGTATTTTATAGTTTTATATTAGAGCGCTAGATTTTTGGGCGTTTTTGGGCGAGATGAGTCTGGTTAATTATGATTTGAAGTAGGAGTTTGTCGGATTATTCATTGTGCTGTTTTATAGTTTAATATCTTGTAACCTTCGTTATCACGCTCGTTTCCATTGAAACCCTTAATTAAATACGAACAAACTTCGAACCGGGAAACAAGTGTCCACTGCTTACAATTATACTAACCGTACAACTCTAACCTTTCAGAACAGAGGGTTTGCATTTCTATCTGCTGTGACACGTGCTCACGATGTTTAGGAGGGGACAAATATGGTATTATCAATGCATTATCAGTCTTCGAAATTAATAGCGTAATAATGACTGTTTTCCTAGACCTTGCTTAGTATATTCTTGTTTTTTATGATATCTATCAGTGCTTATGAGCTGATTGTCATCTTCAACATGCTTGGTACCAATGGTACAGCTTCTGATGAGATCTCTGATTGAGTGACGAGATCACGTTCCCGCCGGGTCATAAATCAGATAACTATTTTTGTAGATTGAATTGAATAATAGGAGCGGGTAGTAAATATTGTGTTTCGTTTCGTATGATTAACCCTGATCGCTTATTATATTCTTCTAGGACCTTCCATCGAGGACAATTAATTTCTTATCTCTTTATTCACTTTGTAGTTTGTTGTTAAATTATCAGCTCCTGCCACCTGTGCGGGACAGTAGTTTAACACAAGGTAACTCCTTTCTTTCTATTGTCAACATTGGCCTCACCAAAGAGCATATCCCCACGTCGTTTAGTGAGAAAGATTTCTGTACAGCAAAAGTGTTCATCATTAGAGTTTGTGAAAATCATATTGTTTGACAAATTATCTCCTTTTTTTTAAAGAGAGGCTGGGCCTGGGTGGCCCACGAGAGGATAGCATGTGGATGCTTTTAAATTATCTCCTTTCCATTTCACATCTTATCCTGTATCCATAATTGATAATGATAGTACACTGGATCAAATAATTAATAGACAATGGACATGAAGATGCATGTTCATCGTCTATTAATTATACATGATGTAGTATATAATAAATAGTTGTTGTTTGGTTTCCCAAAGAGAGTGCTCGACTGCAGTTAAGCAGGAGCATTATAATTCGAACAATTGAAACAAATCAAATTGGCGGGCAAACGATCCGTTTCATGATATGTATAAAAACAATACCAATCATCAGTGCCAAATAGAATAATGAATTGTAGCGCTATGACATGTTGCTCCTTTATAAAATAATTTTTATCGATCATGAAACATTTTCAAAATTATCAAAATTTACAAAATTTCCAAAAAACAGTTTATTGTGTCCGTCCCAATTTTAAAATTGTCTATGAAGTAAGGTAGTAAGATATCTTTGGCTTTTAAAGTTGTAAACTGCGTTGGCCTTCGTGTAGTGGTAGAGGAAAATTCTTTACTGAGTTCCGTGAAGCTGGTAGAATTAGGATCCGTATTTGAGAGTTAATTGTTGATTCTGGTTATCAAACGAGAGTGCTCAACAACGACGAGTCGAAGGAGCATAACTAATAAATAGTTGTTGTTTGGTTTCCCAAAGAGAGTGCTCGACTGCAGTTAAGCAGGAGCATTATAATTCGAACAATTGAAACAAATCAAATAGAATTTTCCTCTACCACTACACGAAGGCCAACGCAGTTTACAACTTTAAAAGCCAAAGATATCTTACTACCTTACTTCATAGACAATTTTAAAATTGGGACGGACACAATAAACTGTTTTTTGGAAATTTTGTAAATTTTGATAATTTTGAAAATGTTTCATGATCGATAAAAATTATTTTATAAAGGAGCAACATGTCATAGCGCTACAATTCATTATTCTATTTGGCACTGATGATTGGTATTGTTTTTATACATATCATGAAACGGATCGTTTGCCCGCCAATTTGATTTGTTTCAATTGTTCGAATTATAATGCTCCTGCTTAACTGCAGTCGAGCACTCTCTTTGGGAAACCAAACAACAACTATTTATTAGTTATGCTCCTTCGACTCGTCGTTGTTGAGCACTCTCGTTTGATAACCAGAATCAACAATTAACTCTCAAATACGGATCCTAATTCTACCAGCTTCACGGAACTCAGTAAAGAATTTTCCTCTACCACTACACGAAGGCCAACGCAGTTTACAACTTTAAAAGCCAAAGATATCTTACTACCTTACTTCATAGACAATTTTAAAATTGGGACGGACACAATAAACTGTTTTTTGGAAATTTTGGAAATTTTGATAATTTTGAAAATGTTTCATGATCGATAAAAATTATTTTATAAAGGAGCAACATGTCATAGCGCTACAATTCATTATTCTATTTGGCACTGATGATTGGCATTGTTTTTATACATGATATCATGAAACGGATCGTTTGCCCGCCAATTTGATTTGTTTCAATTGTTCGAATGATGTAGTATATATATATATTTGATGAGGAGCCACTACAATGGGTTACCTTATTATCAGTTCTGAAAATGAAATCTGTTGTTCAATTTTTAATTTCATTTCGTTCACCGTGTTCATTGTGCATATCCTTTTAAAACGCTCAGTGGTCAAATTAATGCATAAAATATTAATAATAATGCTAAACATTCCAAAATGACGACTAAACATTTTTGAATAGATTGTAAGACTGAAGACATTAGCCATTTCCCCCGGTACCATGCTGATTGTGATTTAATTGCTGATTAAATTTGTCAAATAGTCGATAAATTATCAACTTAATAAGACTAACAATCTTTTAAAAATTATAATGCAGGTTAGAAAGATGGAAGAAAACCGGACATTAGTGCTAATTTGCATATCCTTAGGACTACTTCTGCTATTGCTAATTAATTACAGTCACGATCAAGATCAGAGCGGAATATCAGTTTTGACCAACAGTCAACCTGAAAAGGATAAGTTTTCATCTGTTCAGGGAAACTTTAACAGTAAAAGCACGGATTCAATAGAGAATACGACCTTACTTTTAGATCAAAACCTTATATCTGATACAGAGGCTTCAACGAATAAATCATCAACATCAGGAGTGGAGCCGGCCAACGATAACAATTACCACATTAACAACTCGGAACTCACCGACCTCCAGAAACATACACTGGAAAAGTCTCACAAAATTCTAGCGAAAATAAGAGAGAACTGTGCAGCACGAAACATATCGACAGTCTGGAACTTCAGGGATATGTTTTTAAAGCCACGATTACTCATAGCAAAGAAAGAGTATCACATACTCTATGGAAGTAATCCTAAAACTGGCAGTACTAGTTTTAAAAAGTTTCTGTTTCGTATTGATGGTGTAACAGATGAGGACCACGAATTTCATCGATATGCAGAGGGGCACTATGAAACGGTGCATAATACAAATTTCTTCGAAAATGAGGCCGATTTCAATCAATACGTTAAGATCATGGCGATCAGAAACCCAATAGTTCGAGTGGTATCAGCATTTCGAGACAAGCAACTTCGACACAACAAATACTTCAAAGCTCCTCAAAATATCACGGACAGTGAACATTTTGCTCTGTTTGTACAGAATAGACTGTCCAAAGAAAAGGAGTCGGATGTGCATTTGCAGCCCCAGTGGCACAATATGTGTATCTGCCATTTCCCGTACGATCTGGTGGTTCAAATCGAAGAAGTTGGACGGTACATTCCACTGATACAGAAACTGACCGGAACTGAGCTTGTTGAGTATCCAGGGTCAAGAAAAGAACAGGGTACGGATTCGCACGATAGTATGTATTTTGTTAATCAGTATTGGGCTGGTCTAAACGAGGAACAGAAACAGATTATTCTCAATAAGTATAGCAGAGATTTTGAAATATTGGGGTATACCAAATTTGATGAGGATGGATTCCCTTTGCTGAGCTATGATAGCGAGATCACAACTAAGAAAATATAATAATGATAGTATCATTCTTCTCGTTTATCACATGAATTATACTATCACACTCGATTTGTTTGGTATTTTAATAATTAAACCTAGGTCCTAAGAAAGAGGCTAGGCGGTCGGTATGTTATTGCATTATAATCTAATCTAAAATGAATTCCAATTATGTTTGTTCGATGTGAGTAAAGACAGCAGTATCATTTTACAATTTTAATTATTATAATTATCGTAATTATCTAATTATCTAATTATCATAATCATCATAATTATCATAATTATCATAATTATCATAATTATCATAATTATCATAATTATCATAATTATCATAATTATCATAATTATCATAATTATCATAATTATCATAATTATCATAATTATCATAATTATTATAATGGCCAGTAATCAAGTTAGTTCTTCTAGAACTCTTCATAAAGACATGGTATCTGAAAGCCCCACAAGATTGGCAATATTATTCTCTTGAAATATCTCCATAGTCCGCAACAGAGAATTAATAAATATTTTGAAGTAATTTTGGGTCTGACATTTTAGTGTAATATTTATTTATTATATAAACCAGTAAAACTTGCAAAGAACTATAACTATAATTAATGTATTGAAACCTAATATTGCAATTGTTAATTCAGCAAATCTATTATGTTATAAAATTGTCTACTCCATTAAATGAAATTTAGAAATGGTAATAAAGAATTTTCTAAAAGTCGGTAAAACTAGAAACCACAATTTTAATAAGAGCACTTTCGAGCCCTGATTATTTCTATCAAATTGTTAATATACTTATAGATTAATGACCTTACAATAGGCATGTCTTTAAAAAAACAAATACCGTTATAAACGTAAAAACATGAAATTGGTAAAACTGTCAAAAACATATATATAAATATAATAAATATTAAGCATTAAAATTCCTAATGTTACGTTTTCTCGCAATCGTAGAAGGACCCTAGATCTTTTGATTAAAATTTAGAATAAATAAATGTTAATACACTGCCTTGAAAGAGAAGTTAATCACCATAGGAATCTAATAGTCCTAACATAATTTATTACTTATAAATACTTGGTAATAACTAAAAATTTGACCCGTTAAAACAATCAGCCGTGCTATAGTTACTAACTAACAATTAAAAAATAAACAGCAGAATTTTATCATGAGTGATACACCTACCTAACAACTTGCCCGAAGGATCCTATCAACTTGGAGATTCGGAACGCTTTCTTTTTCTGTACTCCCCTTCATCTGAAATATCTGACCCGATCGTTGCCATTGAGCAATCGACATCCCCAAAGTTTTCTACGTCCGGTTTTGAGCTGAGGTTTTTCCCCGATTCTGGTTTCGAGCTCGACTCGATCCCTAATTCTGGTTTCGAGCTAGGATTGTTTTCAGATTTTGGTTGTGAGCTAGGATTGCTTCCAGGTTGTGGTTGTGAGCTATGATTGCTCAAAGACTCACACCCAAACATATCGAACGTATTTACTATCTCATCACTTTTAATCGACCCATCCACCAGATTCAACAAACTACAAAAGTCGTCTGTGCCAGTGATCTCTGATTCGTTGTCCGATGAAAATGGAGTTTCCAAGTCAAGAGAAAAGCTAACAGTTCTCTTCTTTCTCTTGCCCGAGGTGAAGGGAGATTTGAGAATGCTTTTGAAACTAGACACTGACACTGCACTTACATCCGACTCATTATCCGAATCACGCTTCTTATCAACTCCGTACGACATTCCGTGCGACATGCTGTTGGATTCTTCCAGAAGCTTCAGGAACCCTCCCTTGGATTGTATGTTTATCGTGCCCTGATAGGGAGAGGATTGGAATGTTGGCATCTGGGCGTCCTCGTTTACTCGGGGATGTATTATTGGCTCCAGGGTGTTGGTGCCAAAATCTGATTGCGGTAGTTTGGGATCTGAGCTGTTGTCGAAATGTTTTAAGGTAGGGAAGAAAGGTTCATTTTCTTTCTCCACCATACTTCTAGAGGGTGATCCTTTCATCTGAATGTAGTCCGAATCAAGAGGTTTACGTTTAGGGGAAAACTGGCTCCCAGTTACAAACAGAGCCCTCATAGGTGAGTTATACAATATTTTCTTAACAAACTTCCTTCCAGAACGAGGAGTACCAGGTGGAGTAAAACTGTGCTGAGAGTTCGAGTTCGGAGTATTCGAGTTCTGAGTGTTCGAGTGCTGAGAGTTGGAATCGCGAGGAGGAGTGTTACTGACCTGGTCAGGACTCCGGAAAAGGGAGGGGATATCTTCTGTCGAACTGGAGGGAGTGGTTTTCAAATTAAAAACTGGTCTGTTTGGAGTCTTGAAGCCGTCCTTGATGGCGAATGTTTTCAAGGACTTGTTTTGAGATTGGCTGCCGAAAAAGGACGATGCTCGACCTGAAGTTGCTCTGACTGGAGATTCTTGGATCTGAGATACAGACGTACATTCCTTCTGGGGAGTCAAATCGACCCGCTGACGAGCTCTGCTTGTCTTGGCGGCCGTAGGGTTTTTAACCTAGCGATTAAAAAGTTAACTGATTTCTAAAGATTAATGTCTATTAACACTAAATTAAATACTGAACAGAATATCAGCAAAAACATAACATTCTGGCTACAAAAACGAAAATTTTGCAGCAGACAGCTACATAAATACAATAAGTCACGACGAACCTGTTTTTTAAGTGGGGTGTCCAGAATAGAGTTCTTCCGTGACAACTTCCGTCTCTTAGAGCTCTGCTTCACTTCATCAGGAGTTATCTCAGAAGACAAATATTTGCTCCGTCCCACTTCCACACCAACCTGCTTCTTGCTGCATACCTTAGCTGCTATCTTATGCTCCCGCACTTTACCCGGGTACTCCCGATGTTTCTTCTTCTTTTTCTTGTGTTTGGGGACTGAGATAGAAAAGCTGCTCTGAGAGCTCTGACAAGGATCCATCCAGCTCCGATGACGGGTAAATGTTGATTGGGAGGAGATTGTGGCGTCGTTTGATTGAGAGTTAGATGTATCCTCGCAGTATAGTGGGGCTTGAGCCTGAATATAGCCATGAATAACTGATTATTCAAATTATCTGATTACCTTACTCGGGATTATTATGACCGGGATAAAGTGGCGGGTTTAGGGTAATTTCGCCATATTTTTCCCGAACCACATTTTCACCGGTCGTTAATAAACCCGCCGACTCAGCTTTTAGGGTTCCCAAGGGGTATGGGTGCTCATATTTTAATGGTTGTCTTATATTCACTAAAGAAGACTATTGGGACACTTGTTGTAGGGTTTTCGACTTCATTTGGCTGAAATTGCAAAAAATTCACCTTTTTGCCCAATTCTTGTCATATATCCTTATTGTCAAAGTTGATTTAAATAGGCCAATTTTTAATTTCTTAGGTATTGACTATCTCTACATAATGAAATAGGACTCAAAGTAAAAGTAACAGTTAAATTAAAACTCGAATTAATTAAAACGGTCAATAACATGAATCAGTTTCATCAGTCATTTATTCATAATTCTAAACAATGTGAACGATGCATTCTTTCGAAGATTTTCTACAAATTGAGTCATAATGGTTATTTGATACACGTAAACATGTAATGCTAATTCAAAACAACGAATTTGCTAGAGTCTACTTTCAACAATAATTGATAATTCGACTTGTTTCACAAGTTTTAGCAATGCGAAAATTTCTGAACCTGCTTATCTCTAATAAGGAAATTTACATCTGAGACAACATTTTTGAATCTAAAATTGAAAGGTTGGACACCGGTAAAATGGCGACCGGGAAAATGTGGTGGGTTTTGAGCAATTTCGCCATATTTTTCCCGAACCATATTTTAACCGGTCGTTAATAAACCCGTCGTAATAATCCCGAGTAAGGTATTCGAATGATCTGCAAGGAAGGAGTAATGCAATGTTACATTGTTACTGTTACATGATGTTAACAACTTACATGGTGTGTAGAAAGAACACTGCTAGACAGACTGTTCGAGTCGTCACACAAAATATCTGGAACCTCCATCAAGAAACCATCCTCGTAAAGTTCTCGCAACAAATCTTGGCAATCCTCGTGGAACTCCTTCAATATCTGAGGAAAAATAAACTCGTTAAATAGATAATTACGAATTAGTTAAAAATTATATATAATTTAGACAAATGATTTATCTTTCAAGCAATTAAATATAGAATTTAAAACATCTCATAAAACTACCTGGTCGTTAAGGAAGTTGAACATTTGAGTAGGAGAGGTAAGGAAGGAGAGAGATCTGAGGAGAGCGAGGACCCCGGATGCAGCACAATCCTTCTCCTCGGTCTCCATATCACTGAACTCACAGTACCAAACTAGGTGCAATACCACCTGCACGGGTACATTTATTTGAGATAATTGTTTATTATTATTTCACACATTATGATATACTGCGTTTTCATACGTCATAGTAAATTCCGATTAAAGTAAAGCAATATAAGCAGACCTGAATTTTGTGCTCCTTCACCAACTTCCCACTATCATCACTGTGTTTCTCTTTAAGTTTAGAAGGACTTTGCAGCTCTTGTTTCACGTCGTTCTGATATTTGCGCACAAGTGCTGCGATGTTTGCGCGCTCGTAAGATCGCGGAGATGACTGTAACATGGCCTCGTCTAACGCACAATCTGCTGTTATCTCGGGTATGGTAGCTAGTGCGTCTTCTACCTTACATACCCTCTTAGGTTCCTGAATAGTGAGATTTACAGACGTTATCTTTACAGATATATCCTCAGTTTGAAACATTTATGTGTATCACGAATTAAAAAGTCGCGATATTTTAAAATAGATTATTTAATAATGCTGTGGTCCTGCTTACACAGTTGTCGTCGGGTTTGGAAGAAGATCGTACGACAAATGGATCCTTTATGTGAAGATCGTGAAAGTTCTTTATCTGTTCCATCATATGCGAATCGTTTTTCTCGGTTGTATTGTTTATCAGACACAAGTCACTGACACTGGAAACAGAAAAGTGTTGGGAGCCAGGTGAACTTCCAATTTCTATAGTAAGGAACGCAATATTTGGTCGTTTCCCGAATACTCCATTTTCGAGTACAGTCAAATCTAACATAATATAATATTAAATATTAAATTTGAATCAAGACAGTTATTATTTGATACTATTTAATGTAGAAATCCAAATTTACCTCATACGAAATTGACTGCTCACATCAATAAACAAATCCGCTGAATTCTCGTCCACCCCCAAATCATGAAAAGAAATGAGATCGAAACACTCCTCCTCGGGAGTTCTCGGTAATTGAACAAGATCGGAAGGATCAGCCAGGGCCAACAAACTGAACATGACCCCAACTGTAGGGGTAAGGTGCTTTATCACGTACGTGTTACTGTACTTTTTGTCCTCTTTTACCTCGACGGACTCGACCTTAGGAGCACAATCGTATTATTGATTGTACCAGCATCATTTGTTCAAATAAGGAATAATGGTATTTATCTCATGGTATGTGGCATGTATGAAGTATGGAGAACCCTAGCCCCCCGAGTGCAGTAATTCATTTTATAGCGTTATATTGGGGTTTAACGACAACTTGAGCTTTTCTCAGCTTGATGGAACAGCTTGATGGTGGAACTTTGTCATTTGTGCTGCTAAAAGTCAAAAATTCGACTGTAAAAAAGACTTTGGATTAAACATAAAATCAAATCAAATAATAATGACACAAACATCACACGTCAATCGTCATAAAGAATATTTCTACACAAATTTATAAATCAAACTTAAATGCTAGGTACAAAGATCAGACCCAGTGAAAATGTAATTATGTAGAAACTTACTGAGAATGACGGCCAGTCCGGGGTGGTAAATTCGGCAAACTTCTCATCAAACGCCACAAAGTAGCAGTTCCTGTGATCCAAATACCTGCAATAAATTACTGGGTAATTAAACGCCACAAAGTAGCAGTTCCTGTGATCCAAATACCTGCAATTAATTACTGGGTAATTAAATTGTACAAAAATAAAAAACAATCTATAACCTATTATATCAAGATATTAGTGTTCAAACCAGAGAAATGTAAATTAAGAAACCCAAAATAAAGACACGAGGCCAACGTACAGGGCAGCAAGATTCAGGTTAAATATCAGCTACCAACCTGCCAGCAAAAGAATAAGAGACCTCCATCTTGAACATCAAGCTGATGAACTGTCCTCTGTCATCCATGTCCTGATCCATTGGAGACAGCGCAAACTCCATGTCTCCATCATCCACCGCAGGGTTCTCTTCGCCGCTACTGTCATCGAGTACAAGGATAGTCTCTGTTCCAATAAATTTAACTTTCTGGGCAGGTTTATTGACATGGTTCGTCAAATGTGACCTAAGAATACATTAGGTGAAGTGATAAAATTAATGCTGTCAAATTACAAAGACAACAGAAGACTTATTTTAGAAGTTTTTGCAAGACACTAGTTGAACTGGGGTCAATACCACTGACCGCAGACACGAAAATGTCATGACTTGGAAGGCTATCACCAAAAACTCACCTGAAAATTTGTCTGAAGCAAAACTTGGATAGGTCGGAGCAAAGAAGGTCGGTAGGAACGATACAAGTTTTCTGCCTTGAGTACCTCCCATGTATTATTTTATCAAGAGCTTCTTGGTCTATTGACGACCTTGAACCCTCCAAAGCGTTTGTATCGATCGTCACCAACTTAACCTTTTTATCTTTCTTTAAGCTTGATAATATTGTCCTTATTCGGTCACTGAATTAACAGGTTTTTAAAGGTTCGTGGAGAACAACGGTTTCTAATATTAACAGCGAGGTTTATGGCATCTTAACTTCTTAAGAAAAAGTACGTTAAATTTCCAATGATTCTTTATGATTATAGAAAAATGTAAGATGCAATCAAACCAACCTGTCACCAATCAAGGAGGATGACAAAACGAAGATAAGATTATCAGTGTCATCATCCCAGTTGAAGTCAGAAGCGACCATTGTGAGCGCCTCCTCCCAGCTCCTGTTAGTCATCTCGACCTCCTTCTCAGCCTCCTCATCTAACCTGCTCAACAAATCAGAACCTTCCATTTCGTTAACCCCGCCCTCCAGAGGTGTCCTACCATTTTGATAGGTTTTGGTACTGGTTTTATTAACACAGGGTACGGTAAAGCTGTTAGTAAGGTCAGATAGGAGCTTTTGAGCAGGTTTGAGAGCAATTGATTGGAGGGATATCTTCCTATAGGATATGTTAAGTATTCCTGATCTGAACAAATGGTAGCCCCATGTTATCTGAAATATGAAGAGATTCATAAATACGAAGATTTCGTCATTAAATTTATTATCTTAACCCCAAGCTGTAATCTTTATCCTTCATTTCCATTACAGGGGTCACATCCCACTGCCAATGAATAACATAAAAGCTGTTTAAATCAGATTTGAGCAAACTCACGTTTATTTTGGGCGTATAGCAGTAGTAGAGAAGAATTCTGACTATCAGGAGATGAATCTGTTGCGGAATGTGGCCGTCTTTGCCATAAACAGTGTTCACTACAAACCCTAACTTCAAATCATTCATCCCCCCAAAGATAAGTCCACATTTTCACTGGGTTACTTTGATTCGAAATGCTTTTTTAATTCACATAAGATTGTTGTGATCCAGGGCTTCAGTTTAATCTTCTGGTAACATGTCTGTAGGGCTAATCAATCTACCATTTAGTACAATCAATGTAACGTCAAGACTCCATCGTTGGAAACGATCATGAATTCAATGATTTAATCCCAAATCTATTAGAAATTCTCAATTTTTTCTAATGCACAGTGTGGAACCATTTCATCGATGGAAATTTGTAAATTCGGAATATAAAAATAACCAAGTAACTCTGATCAGGTCTTAAGTAAGATTGAATTCGTAGATCAGAAATGCCAGATATTATGATAAAATCGAGTAAAATTTATTTTAGGGCCTTAATTGAAACTGTGACTGCAATCCAAACCCAAAACAAATAGTTAAAACTTAAAACTTATAAATAATTAAAAAATAAAAAGTCAAACAAACAGCTGCCATCACCTCTGAACATTTTCTTCGATACTTCCTTGTAACAAGTTCTTGACTCCTGTGGCGAGTCTTAAAGAGGTTTCCCAGCAAGTTTCTATACAATCTTTAGCCTGAGTCTGTTCAATTTTTCCAGTTTGTTTTAAGTAAGATATCTGAGAGAGTGAGGGTAAAACAGCCAGATGGAATCCAGCTCCTCCGGTGTATTTACTGAAAGGACCGTATTCTTCCTCAGCAGTGGGGTCCACTAAAACATCACTGTTCTCAAAAAACCGAAGAGTCGTACCAACTACAAGATCCTTAACCTCTATGTTAGCATTGATTAGCGCTACGGAGGCAGCTGTAAGTGCTAAAGCTAGAGCGCTTCCATCATCTTGGATTACTTGAACTGATATTTCAACTTGAGCTTTCGGAAAACGTTCAAGAAGTATTACTCCTTCCATTGCTTCACAGATGCATTTTGAGATCATTTTCTCTTCGAAATCTTGCCTGGGCTCACAATAGTGCGCTCTTGCAAATGGCATGTATTTGAACTCACAGGTTACCTTTCCCTTCAAAGAGAACTCTTCTCGTCGTAATATTTCTTTAGGGCCGTATACTGCGGCGGTAAGCTTAGTATTCCCCATCTCTATATAAACTGATCCTTGAGCTTTCGTTATTATACCAACCTTCATGTACAGGGCCCGGAGTTCATTCCATTTCCGACCATCAGCTCTCAGTTTATTCTTGTCGACAGAATTCAGAGGGACCAGAGTTTCTTTCTGTAGGAGTGGTGGTTCAATTGCTCCCTCCGGCACACAATTTCGTTTGGGATCTGGCATAGTCGCTGAACTACGAAAGATTGTTTAGAAACAAATTAGCTGATTTCTTAATTTGATTTCCAAATTCAATTTTGACGAGGTTACTTAAATTTTAAGATGTTTTTTAGCCTCTGAATTGGCTATTAAGTCTGTTTAATTCATTGAGGAGTAGAACTTGAAATTATCTGGTATGATTCCTCTGCAAGTGGATAATGGGTAACTTTTGTATAGTTATCAATAATTTCAAACATGAAAAATACAGGTTCATACAAAACCATCTGATATAATAATCTAGCGATCTAACATAATTGGTCATATGAATGCGATGGAAAGGTTATTTATTAGGTTAAGTCGATGTTGATAGACAATTTTTAAACATTCCAAAAATATTAAAATCTAAGTCATCAAGTACGGTAAACGTTTATTTCAAATCATAAGTTACTTAGCAATTTTATAAATTGCATAATAACAATAATACAGGGTAGCCCATAATATGTTAGTGTGCAAATGTTTGGGCTTATTTATCAGTCACTGAGTGCCCGGTCGAAATAATTCGTTCCGTTAGCGGCAATAGAATCTTCGAATGAGTAGTTAAAGTATGCCGTCTGCAAAGTTATAAGTCACAAATATACGAAAAATACAATGTTGTGAGCCCAAACATTTGCAGACTGACTTATGGGCCACCCTGTAGAATAATAGGTCTACCCGATTAATATAATTGAATACGACCTTCACATATCAATGCAATCATGACAATAATAAATCTGCAATCAAAGAATTGAGGCGATTTGCTATTCATTAGCAAATTTTACATCCAGTACAAAAGATAAAAAAGAAACATGTTCATCATTTAAGGAAACCAGCGTGTTTTGGCTTTAGGACTTTCAGTATGATCAACTTAAATAACCGAAGCACTAAATAGGTACATTCATTTAACTTAAAGGGGAAACTGGACGATAGTTACATTTTTAAATAATATGTGACTTTGTGAATGTTTGAACTCAGCCGAAATTGAAATTGCGACATTGAAATCAAATGTGTCATCGGTAATAATATGACTTTTAATCTAGGGTAATAATATCACACTATTACTCTAGATCTAGTAGGAACATGAAAATGTTAAAAATTACGACAATCAACAAAAAAAGGTACAACAAACATTTTACTGCATATCAAATGATCTAATGACCATTCCGATTTTACTATCGATTAGAATTATCCTAATATCATTGATCGAAATTTAAATTCCAAATTTTCCATGAAATAACAACAGAAAACTAAGATCTACTCATCTGTCTGCCAAAAACTGGAAATAATTCTGACTGTTCGGCGTTAGCAGTAATGTAATCTTTGACGTACAGATGCTTCTTTAGTTCTGGATCCACCCTACAGGCCCATGCTATAAAGATATTACAGTCATGTGGATCCCATTTAAGCATTCTTTTAGTCGAACTCAAACTGGATTCATCGGCAAACAGCCTCTTGAAGAGATCAGCTTTGCAAGTTATTTCATGCAAAGCAAGTGCCCCAAGCCTGATTAAAAACTCAGAGTTCTTCCCAAATGAAATCATTTTTGTGACAATTTTGTTGACAAATTTACCACAATCATTAATCGGCAGTTCCTTCATCTGCTTATTGGTAAATGCTTCCAGAGAAGACGACACCTTGACAGTACGCTTTGTAACGTCAATAATTGCCAAGGGAAACCTGTTAACATACGTTTTGAGACAATGCACCCCCCTTAAAACATCATCTGACTCACAATCATAAACTATAGTCTGAAGAAAGATATGACTTCTAAACTCAGTGTGTCCTATCGTTGGCCAAATAGTGACACACTTTTCAGTAGCAGGGATGATATAAGAAATAAGAAGGGACATCTGCTCCATCTGTAACCAATGACTCCGAAGGCCGGTTATCACAGCAAATCCCGCACACTGAAGCACTCCCTGGTACACCCGTTTCAGGAATGCAGGAGCTGCTCGGTTTGTTCCATCTCCGAAATATTGGAGAGGTTTACAGACTTGGTCTAGAGAATGGTGCATGAGATTGAATACAGTGGAGTCAAGTTTAAGGATCATACTGCCAATATGATCATCAAGTCTGCGCCTGCTGATAGTAGACTCTTTGATGGCGTCCTTGATGACTACAGTTGACTTGTACAAAAACGAGTATAGATTAGTCACCTGGGAAATTTGTTGAGGATTTTCCAAGGGAAATACTAAAGAAAGACAGTGCAACCTAGCCCTGCTGATTCGGGGACTTATATTGAATACAATCGCTAAAATCATGATTTTTTGTTCTGGGATGAAGAGCAGTTTGCGCTCTCTATCTCGAGAGCTGTTACTGCTTGTTTCGTCCATGTCCCCGGTCAGAACGTGCATGTTCACATAGTTCACCAGTTGTTCATTGTTCTCCTCCTGAGACTTCATCCAACATTTGGATACTTGAGGTCCAAGTATATTGTCCCAATGGGTTATCAATACACATTTAAAAACGCTAAGTTCACTAAGTTCAAACACTTTATCCTTCCCGAATCCTGTCAAGGTGATGGTGGACTCCACTGCATCTGTATACTCACTAAATGGATGATCGGTTGTTGCTGATGAAGTCTGTGACGAAGTTAGACGGTCTATCCGACAGGGTGAATCGGGACTGTGTGAAGTGTTAATACTGAAGGTACTGCAACGAGCTTCTGCTAAATGGTTTGATATCATTGGTGGACTACCAAAACTCATCTGTCGAGATAAGAGAAGTTCAGTTCCTGTTTATACCCCATGATACATCTGCCTGAGAGAAAATTATTTAGAGAACTCAAGAAAGGTTCGAAAAATACTACAGCTAGAACGAGTAGTATTTATGCATAATAATTTTCATGTTTTCAAAATTTTTGGCGGAGATCTAAACTTTGACGGTCTACGAATCATGTAAGTTAAACGTCAATAATTTGCAGTGCAGAAATTAATGTAACATAACTAAAAATAAAAAACAAATCTTAAAAAAGCCTAAAAGAAGCTCATGGATCACGAGAGTGTAAACTTTCGTCTAGATGTAACTCTGAAGTCACACAGAAACCCCAAATAATTTAAAAACAATCTGTTGTGACTTCAAATGAAGGTTTTTTTTGTCACCTAGGCCGGGACTCGCAGCCGGGACAATGATGCAACATATCATGAACGAAAATATCACAGGTATAACAAAAGTAACTGTTACAGGACTCACAACGGTACACATGTTTCTGATTTGCGAAAGTTTTGGAGCAGCCCCCACACACCATGGTGTCATCAATGAGGTCCTCTGTGGATGTTTCAGTGAACTCTGACAGAGGAAACAGGTGGTGATAAGATCGAGCCAGGTGAGGAGCACAAACCAGCGTCAGGGAACATATTTTACATTCCACAGGGACCTCGCAGTACTTGCTAGAACACGTGGGGCAGGTGAACCCTTGAGTGGTTAGTTCAGCCTTGGTTTTGTCCTCCACGTGGCACTGACACAAAGACAACGTGCCGTCTGTTACATGCGGGGGAAACCCCATTTTCACCAGACTTGGTTCCATAGTGGGGGTTGCAGCGGGGGGTGCACATTGCAACCTCAACAGCTCTTGGAGATGCTGCTCGTCCAACATTACATTGTATGTTCCATTTGTTGCGGAGGATACTCTGTTAAATATTTGAACAGAAGCACTGAGTCCTATAACGGAGACCCTTATATTGCTCTCTGCTAGTTGAGTCAACATGTCGTTTATTGGGTGAGGATCTACACTGGTTAGAGATCCAGCAACGATTATTATTTCTCGACTAGCATAAGATGGCATACTTGATAATATTTTGAACGCTGTTTCTAAGCCATTGTACAGAGAAAAAGCACCCTCGCAAGCTTTTTGAGCTTTGATATTTGCTATGTGTTTATTGATATTACTGCTTAGATCTGATATTTTCTGACCTTTACCGTTTTTAACAGCTATAACTCCGATCTGTGAGATAGGATTCTGATCGTAAAACTCGAGAATAAACTGCTCGGAAAGTTTCTTCAGACATATGAATCTGCTCGGCTTGAGATCATTATCCTCCATGTTAACAGACTGATCAAGAAGCAGAAACACGTGTCTCATAACCCCCAGCTTGACATTTGATAGTCTCTGTTGGATCAGCCTGCGCTTCTCTCGTTTTGCACTGCTGGTGGTTAAGTCTACTAGTCCTCCATCTGTTTCTTTTATCAGCTCCCACGTTTTCTCGTAATTCCCCTCCCATCTGTACCCATCTCCATCTTCATCCATACTGTACACCTGCAGGTGGAATCTGTTTAAAATCCTGTAAATGTAATACCCAATATTATGATGCACTAGTACATACTATACACTATACAGTACACTCTACATACCGCACCCGAGCTTAAATTTCATCCGTTTGTGATAAAAAGCTTTTTCAAACAACACCCACGATTTTCCGGGATTCAATGATAACAACAAGTTTGGCATAGGTAAGCTTGTGGTTTGTAAGAAAACACTAAATGATATGCTTGGAATCAGATTACAGACTAAGATAATGCATATCAAATGCATTGTAGTAAAAAGAAATGATGGTTGTCAGTTGTCACAATATTCTATAAGCTTATAAAATTTCTATTTTCGGCTGCAGAAAGTTGCATTTTTCTTTTGTTTAACGGCAGGTAAACAAATTCTGTTGACGGATTAAGTGCAGCATACGAATTATATGTTTAATGACTGAGACAGTATCAGATATCTGAAGACATTACAACAATTCCGATATACTGTATTACCTGAGTAATTTTACTAAACGTTTCCTCGCATTCATAAGAAATGTCATGGCAAGGTGTGGATATTGAAAACGTTCATACATACTGCAAAACTGATCCGTCAAAAGAACTGTTTTTAATGGAATTATGTAAGTTCATAAATAATGATAAGTTCAAACAGCAGCTATGAAATAGACATGCATATATTCAGTCAGAGAAATAGCAGTAATAATGTCAAAGAGGTAAATTGTCCAAAAATGGAAACAAATAAAACAGGAATAAATTATAATTTGTTAATGTCTCATTCTTAAAAACTGTTTCCTGATACCCCTTGAACTTTCGAAAATCGTATCATATTATTCTGTAAATATGATTTTAAAGAAATAACTTAATAAAAAGCCCCACCTAAAAAATTTAACACTATCCTACCAATAATAATAAATAATTTGATAAAAATAGTTAAAAATAAAATAATTTATTTCCTTTTCCTTTTGCCTTTTCCACCCTTCAGTCGCTTAGGCTTACTGCTCTGAATTTTCAAAAACTTCTCTTTCAACTTTTTACGGAAGTCAAAATCTGCAGCAAGTTCGTCAACAAGGGTCTTTTGTCGCATTTTCTTGGGTACTCTACTTGAATAAAATTCAGATTTATCCTCTACGATGGTACCGATCTGCACCGCTGATGGCAGTTTCTTTTTGTAATCAGACACATTTGAAAATTGCCCCTTCCCGATCAAATTCCTACTCTTGATTATTTTCAAGTCCCGTTTGAGTTCCTCTGTCATCTCAGAGGGCTTGAAATCAAAGTAGTTTTTACCGAGAGTTTTACTCCGTTCAGTTTTCCTTTCTTTCTTTAGCTTTGAGGAAGTTTTCTCAAAGTCACTAATCTGCACATCACCGATCTGCTGCTTGTCCTGGTACTCGAAAGTTTCTAAATCTATCCCAGGGTTGATCTCTGAAGACAGGGTATCTGACACAAGGTATGGGTTTTTAACTTCGACAAAATTCTTGTTCTCAACAAATGCATTCTCAGAATCGTCTTCTGCTGGAGGTGCAGGTTTCTCCTCGAAACAGGATTTGAAAACATCCAAAGCAAAGTCTACGCCTTTCTTAACATCAGGGTTAGTTTCGTATATCAAGTTATCCATGATTTATAATCAGTTCATTGTCCCTGAGAAGGATTTCACAGTTGTTAATTTGTAATTTAAATTGAGAATCAATCGATAATCGGTAAGTTTACAACGAATTATTACTATATATAAAGCGAGACGATATATATATATATGTGGATATATCCGTGCCATTTTACTGACACCAGGGCATCAACTTTAACGCGACTTTCCGCAAAAACCGTAAAAGATATACAACTGAAACTTTTTTGACTGGGTCAAATGCTTTAATGGCCTTCAAATCAGCATGAAAAAATTAAAAATTGGCCAAGGAATAAGAATTTTAGTGCTCAAAATTTGGACTCCCAAGTGGTGTCAAAAACGCGAATTAAATAGGTAATAATTATTTTATTCTCTCGAGTCTTGACACCACTTTAGGGTAGACGGGTTCCTGCTAGTAATAATAAGGTATACTTGTATCATGTAACTATTTGTAGCAAATCCCAAGGTTGCTTAAAACAAATCGAAACGAAAATTTGTTGTATAACAGAAGATAAGTTAATCTTTACAATAAATTACAGAAATATTTACAGTTTCAAATTTACAAATCTAGACAAGACCTGTTATCCGTCTTATAATAACTTAATAATATAACTTAATAATATAACTTAATAATCTGATATAAAAACTTAGTTTGTGACAGTCCCGACATTTTATAAACAATCTGACAAATTATTTGATCTGGAATATTGTATATTTTGTATCAATGTACCATGCAGAAAGGTATGTAATACGACAAGAGAAAAGTCCCATGATTTTTGTGACTCAGTTGTTAGCACTAATATTCTTGATCCTGTCTCTGAGCTCGGATACACTGACGGTGATCTTGATGATGTCCGGTGTTAGTTCCACCACATTGCCCACATCCCACAAACAAGGGGACGGTGTCGCGGTGGCACGGTTCGAGGCCTTTACTTTACCACGTGCACCACGTGGTGGCGTGGTGAAATCGTCAGGAAGGGGTGTGATGACCTCCTCTCTAACCTCGATCTCATCCGTACAGATTGGTTTGATGAGACCGAACTTTACAGCTGGTATCGGGTAGGCAGCGTGCAGTCTCTGTGATAAAATAAATGTTAAAATTTGAAAAGTTTCATGAGGATATTTTCATAAGAAATCGTGATGGAACAAGATTGAGAGCGATTGTTTAAAAAGTTAGAGTTCAAGAATTTGATGAAACTGTACCAACCATAACCCGCTCGTACTCATCCTTAGGAAGGTAGACCTCCTCTTCTAACTCCCGGAACATGCCGTGGACAGAAGACATCTCTCCTAATATGGGCATAGACAATCTATTATCGGCCTTACAAAGTACATAGTAATATGCCGAGACAACAAGATTTTAACATGAAGGGTTCTATTTATAGCTATTAGTGGTTAAAAGCTATGAGGTGGTAATTACTGGATGCGAATCTAGTTTTGAATTATTATCCATTCTCAATGCAAGGCATTCATGACTTAATTTGGTGATTTAAGTGGAAAACGTAAACAGAAAAATGCGAGGATTGTTTTCATAAAAAGCAGCCTGTAGCACACTTAAAATAACGTTGAGAAATGTTCTGAATATTTAACTACAATTAGTAACATATCTAAAACTATCAATGAGCAACGGTGGATTGTTTGATTTTTCCAGAGGCAAAAAAATGTTAATTCATACTTCTTGCTTAAAGTCGGTTGAATTCACCATTGAGTTGCGCAGCTTTATTCATTAAGTTCAATATGAAGCAGCAAGGGCGTCAAATACAAAACATTTAATCGTATCTACAATTTTACATTCTTGCGATCACTCACATTACAGACAAAATTTCAGCTTTAATTTTTAACTCAGCTTTTGCCAACGCTCAGCAATCAAACTATTTAAGAATCTAAATTCATCATCAATGAAATCATAACACGCTAAAATTAAAAGTACATACAAAGTTCTAAATACCATTCCTTTCATTCCTAGCATTCAATTACTACGCCGAGCTATTTATTACTCGCAACAAGGACAATTGATAGATGACACCAACAAGTTTAATCAAATCAATGCTGTATCGTGGGAAAAAAGGGACAAAATGACACACTTTTAATACTATTATTCTCCAAATATGTCAAAAATAAGTAGGAACTTGGCGTATAATTCTGAATTTTACGACACATTATCGTTGAACACTATGCACATTATACATCTTCTCGATACAAACATTAAAGACGTAATTAAAAGTACCACGTATCTGAATCATCATCACATCTTCTTTAAAACACACAGCAGGATACCACCAAGACATTAATACAGCTGCATGGCAATGTATCACAATCTTACAAATACCATACTAAACCAATCTCCGCTAAAATTCCAACAAATTCCATCTAGTCCAATCACTTACAATCATTCCCTTACTTATCTGCCACCCCATTGAATCTATCAATCCGCAATGAACCTAAACATGATCCAACACACTTCTACTCCCTCTCTCCTCTGAAGATCTGATACCGTGCACACGTGATCTCACACCATCACGTGAACGTTTCTCACGTCATCACGTGACCGCTTCTCCTGCTGCGACTGAACTTCTCACTGACTCCATCCCTGGATCTGTTTAAAACCTAAACCCCAGCCGTCACATGGGGGCACTGTCTTCCCAGTACGAACTGTACGGATCTTGGTTTTCTGAGTTGTCTGAGCTGTTTTGGTAGAGCGTGCAATTCAGCGTTTCTTCTAGAATCTTCGCTTCTGGAAACTCGATCTTAGTCTGTTTCCGCTCTGTCGCATACATTATGGAGGTACATGATATCTGAAATAGACGGTGAGATCAATCCTAAATCTTTAACAGCTTCCAAATGATCAAGCCAGGCAGAAAATAACCTAATAATAGGACATAATTCGAACGATTTATACTCTAAGAAGACAAAATGCAGTGTAAAAGTACAGTAGAAAGTTAATATTGACAAATAAAAAACCTCGCTGAGTTTCTTGCCGCCCCCGTAAAAGGTCCAGCAGCATATCTCGTTTCTGCCGCTGAGGTCTCTGATAAAACAGAGTCTGTTGTGATGCTGCGAGGACAGCTTGTCGAATAGTTCTATATTACATAACAACGTGTCCACCGACTTTCTGAACGTTTGTGAGTGAAAACTAACAGCCGGCTAACCTATAAAGGGATCGAAGTTTATTTGGCTCCGCGCCGTCCAAAAACTTAAAATGTATGCATATTAAATTTATTTATATACGTATTATACTATTTACTATAATATATTATCTTATTTTTTAAACACGATTTAATAATAGTAAAGTCGAAGTTTAATGTACATGTATCACTGATCTATATAGAATACGTCCTTGAATGGTAACGAGGTGTCGAATATGACTTACTTAAAATTGACAGTTTCAAATTTTACATTAGTTTTGAAGCTTTGAGAATGACTGTGAGTGCAGCATTTGACAAAGACCACTTTTCTAAATCACTGCACAACATCTCTGCAACATCCCTGCGTGTACGAACTGTACATACAAGTGTAACTAAAATGGACCAAACTTTGAGCGTACAATTTACACCACTCACCCGAATATTCAAGAGTTCTCCACGCGTTGAGTTAGTTTTTATGCTATTTTATGATTATTATTACATACTTAAAGGGTCACACCAATGTTATTTCTTCCAGAAATCAACTGCCTTAGCTTAACTCAACCCGGTGGGGCCAGTTTTAATACATTTTTTAATGTTTTAATGTTTAATCAACAATTTCTCCACCTTGTTGAGCACCTTTTCACAACTTTGATAGTTTTTTCATTTGCTAGAACACTTTGCTTTAAGACAGAAGAGGTAACAGTTTTATGATCCCCTACAGTAGCAGTTAACAGAGCAGATTAGAATTAGTGATAAAACCAATGAATTTAGGCATGTTTGACAGGCTTTTTACTGTTTCTTAATGAAAGATCTCCACCCTGTTGAGCGTCAATGGAAAAAACAAAATTTAACAGGAAGTAGAAAAGGCCGAGACACAACTCTCTAGCTAACCTAGAACTCTCTAAACCTATCTCCACCCCCGGTTGAGCAGCTTTGAAAAGTGCATTTAATTTCTCCACCTCGGTTGAGCACCTAAATAAAATATTGATAAAACCATCAGATTGCAAATTTGATGTAGTTTGTGTTACCAATAACCTTTTCCACCTTAATCAAAAGTTTCTTCAACCAGAGCCAGTCTCCACCTTAAATCTCCACCTTTTAAGGGTTTGTTTAATACCACCTGTATCTGCTCAACCGTTCAACCTTTTATTTATTTTTTTTACTCAGAGAAAGTCCTGAAAAATGTCTTGTCAGCCATATAATCAGGGAGTTTCATTCTGTGTTGAGCTGGCTCCACCACACACTTCTAAAAAAGTAAAAAATGTACAGGTTGTCTCCGAACTTGACCTTAAAGTGTGCTGCTGAATATACCACTCTTTTCTAAAAATTTCACAAGGACTCACTCAGTGTATGAATATTTGTTGTTGGATCTGTTATATGCGAATCTGACAACCGGTGCCTTTATGGATAAGAAGAATTTCTCTGGCATGGGAAGGGTAAGGACCGGGATTTTAAACTTGAAACTTTCAAGTAAGAAGTGATCTCTGCTTTCGCTGGCTTCTCTGTCTATCACATCTTGACACTGTCTTATTACGTCCTCTAAAAGATAAAACTGTGCTTCTTTCTGAAGTATAGGTGGTTTATCATTTATAAAAACTAGTATGTTTAAAGAGTATGAAGGTAAGATGTAAAATTCCAGGCTTGTCCACCGCCGAGAAATTTGGCTACGCCGAACGATGAAAAAAAACATGTCAAGTTATATCGGAAAATCTTACCAATAATTCATAAAGATCCTGTTTATTAGTAGGTATTCTGATAATGCCGTCTCGCAAGTAGTTTAATATAGCACCAAAGTGTTTTCCATCCCGATCTATTAGAACGTAGCCTGAGTGATAACCAAAATTATTCCACTGAGGAATAATTAGGGATTAATAAGGGTAAAGTCGAGGTAATGTACCAGTATCGACTATCTACGTAGTGACTACGTCTTGTGAAATGTGTAGAGCAAGGTGTTCGATATTATTGAGTTCTTACTTCAAAATTTGACAGTTTTAATTTACAAATTTATCGATTTTGAAAGCTTTGAGAAGATCTGTGTTGAGTCGCAGCACTTTAACACAGACTGTGTTAAAGAGACACACCTTCTTCATCGGTAAGGACATCAACAGTGCCACTGAACATTCTCTGCAACATGGACCCCTGCGTGTTACGGGAACTGACTAGTGTCTGAAGTGTAGTCTGAAAAAGGGATCCACCAACGTTTAGCTTAACATACTTCTTACCACCACTACATACCCTGAAATGTATTAACTTTAGACGTTACGTTAATTACTCAACTTATTTAGTTATTTATTTGATCATTTACTTAATTATTTATTTAATTATTTACTTGATTACTTGTAAAGATTGGTAACATATTGAAATGTGAATTACTATTTTCTAGAGAAAACGCGCTGAACCTCTGATGTCATATAATAACTAAGATTCAATTATTAATAATAATTATGTTAATTGCTCTTAAAATGTGATTAATCTGAATAGTCTAACCTTAGAGGCGAGGTTTCAATGACTGGAATCTTGCTGCTTTCACCCATAGCTCAACCTATAAATAGAGTTTGCAATGTAGTTTGTACTAATCTTTTTATTATAAGCAAAAGTAAAGTTTTAAACCGGAGTTTTAAGAATATATACATTATCAATGATACGAATCTAGACTTTAAAAAAGGAAGCCATAGTGCTGTAAACTAACAGCTCATCGCACATATAACATGATATAACAGAAACACAATATTAACAGACAATGAAAGTGAAAGTGAAAAGAACGATATATTTAAGCACTTTAAGCATCGTAATTATATTATATAGTTTTTAACAGTCCGTCTTGGTAAATATATACATTTTTTTAAATTCTCAAAAACACGTGCACAACGCGGCCAGGGTCAAAGAGTCGGAATCGCTGTAACGAATATTTAAGAAGGGATGAGGTAAGCTTCCAAAAACGATGGATACAGAAGACCTATCAATCATACAGTACAAGTCCAATAAACATGAACAGCACGGTATTCCGTAATTACAGATGCTCTATAGTATTAAAACTTAAGATCTAGGGAATAGTTAAAATACAGTAAACATAGCATCCCGGATACAAAATACAACACTCCCAAGTATTTTCGGGTATCTTTCGACCGTTGAGAGAAAGGTTTTAAGTTTCGCCAGAACGTCTCACATTGCGACGGAATGATCCAG